CGCAACACAGGACAGAGGAGCGCACCGTGGCTGCTTCCTCCTCTTCCCCCCCCCTCCTCCGTTCCGAACATAGATGGACTCGTCTGTCTGAACAAAGCTCGTCGCTCTCCGTGGTGTTAATCCCTCATACTAACATCATGCTAATCCCCCAGTTAAATGCTAATTTACTGTTGATATGTAAACTCTCCCCCCTCCTCTGTTCCAAACATAGATGGACTCGTCCGTCTGAACAAAGCTCGTCGCTCTCCGTGGTGCTAATCCCTCACACCAACATCATGCTAATCCCCCAGTTACATGCTAATTTATATGTAAACTCCTTTGTCAAGGCGCTCTGTTCCTCCCACACAGCTTATAAGACGCTGCCAAGCTTGGCAGGGTTCACTCAAGCGCTGTCTTCCGGACAGTCTTGTTTCTTCACCTGAGGAAGGCTACTTGTGTTGTGGCCGAAACGTCGTGAGAATTTTATTCTGTTATTTTTATTATTTTATCTCCATTCTACGTGACTTTATCGAAAGAACCCAGAAGATGAATCCCTGCAGTCACGAAAGCTTTAAATTGAAAAATAAAACATTATTTGGTGATGGTCTTGCTGCATTGGCAGTTGTGCACAAGTACAAATTAAGGAAAGTACGGGGTGATAGAGGGACAGTACGGCTCCCGGGGACCATGGTTACTAATGAACGTAACGGGAACAGACATGGTCATGTTAGGGTAATGTGCATTGGCAGTTGTGCACAAGTACAAATTAATGGCTGGATTATGAGGTTAAACACAGTTGCATTTACTGTGTGTATGCTAGAAAGTATATTGCTTTTAATTAGACCTAGTAGAGGAGTATATTAGGTATTTTTTTTTATTCTCCCAGCAAGGCATGGATTACACATATGCTGTGCGTGAATCCATGTTGGTATATTACTATCATTACTTGAAATGTAATCATGTAATATAATCAGCTTTTATGAAATCAGTTTATGAAAGTGCTTCTGAAACAGCGGTGAATTCAGATTATTTTTGCGAGAGATTCAAGTAACCCGGTCACAGACCAAAAGGTTATTACTCATCACCTTGCTTAATTCAAGATGTTCATTGCCTCTTACTATTTATCCTAAAACACGGATTTTTTTACATACAAGTTTTGTATATGTTGCACTACATGGGATTTGGGTTGGTATTAACGTGGTGCAGTGCGATATTTTTTTTACATATGTAATAAACGACTTCCACGACGATCTTGACTGGGGTCTTTTATTGATAGAATTCTTGCACAGCTCACTCCCACTCTCCTCATATGCTTTCCTTCTCTCTACCACTGGGGACGAGCCATTCTCTGTTCCGCCATTGAGGTCAACCTCTCTCCCACTCCCCGATCCCGCCGCTGGCTGGCGGCGTGCCAAAAGGAGAGGCGAGCCTCGCTGGGTTCCACCACGTGGTCGATGGTGAGGAGAGGCTTGTGCAGCGACGCGGTCCGGTCACACACCGACCCCTGAGTCATCCCCTACCCCTGCTTATATCCCTCTCGGCGGAGCTATGCTCCGCCTCTAGCCATGCCCCCTCGTGGAACCTTCCCGATGGTTCCTGCACGTTCCCCTTTGACTCCGCCCATTACCTATGGCCCAGATATATCCCCGCTCGGGATTGGATACCCGCTACCCGGTGGTGGCCGTGCGGTTACCCCTTTCCGTCCATTAGATGGCCCTCTCGTTATACATGTGTACAGGCCGTTTACGAATCCACTTCCTAATGAGGACTTGCATGTATGTTGAACTTTGTATATATGTTGAACTTCCTTTGCACTGTACGTAGCCAACTGTGCAAATCAGAGGTGCGGGGGAAAGACAATAAACTAAATACAAAATGATACTTCTCCGCTTAACTCGGCCTCGCTCTGCACTGCGTTGCGCCACTATCCGAGTAGTTAACCTCGTATTCAATAAACCTTCAGCGCCAGGGTGAACATCTGACTCCAACGTATTTAATTAATGAGCATGAATGAACATCAGTGAGTTTCGATGAGTTTCAATGACTTTCAACGAGTTTCAATTACTTTCAATGAGGTAAACCTGATGGAAAAACAGAACACAAAATACAACATCCATTAATACAGTGAGGGAAAAAAGTATTTCCTCCCCTGCTGATTTTGTATGTTTGCCCACTGACAAAGAAATGATCAGTCTATAATTTTAATGGTATGATTATTTGAACAGTGAAAGACAATAACAACAAAATCCAGAAAAACGCATGTCAAAAATGTTATAAATTGATTTGCATTTTAATGAGGGAAATAAGTATTTGACCCCTCTGCCAAACATGACTTAGTACTTGGTGGCAAAACCCTTGTTGGCAATCACAGAGGTCAGAAGTTTCTTGTAGTTGGCCACCAGGTTTGCACACATCTCAGGAGGGATTTTGTCCCACTCCTCTTTGCAGATCTCCAAGTCATTAAGGTTTCGAGGCTTACGTTTGGCAACTCGAACCTTCAGCTCCCTCCACAGATGTTCTATAGGATTAAGGTCTGGAGACTGGCTAGGCCACTCCAGGACCTTAATGTGCTTCTTCTTGAGCCACTCCTTTGTTGCCTTGGCCGTGTGTTTTGAGTCATTGTCATGCTGGAATACCCATCCACGACCCATTCTCAATGCCCTGGCTGAGGGAAGGAGGTTCTCACCCAAGATTTGACGGTACATGGCCCCGTCCATCGTCCCTTTGATGTGGTGAAGTTGTCCTGTCCCCTTAGCAGAAAAACACCCGCAAAGCATAATGTTTCCACCTCCATGTTTGACGGTGGGGATGGTGTTCTTGGGGTCATAGGCAGCATTCCTCCTCCAAACACGGCGAGTTGAGTTGATGCCAAAGAGCTCCATTTTGGTCTCATCTGACCACAACACTTTCACCCAGTTGTCCTCTGAATCATTCAGATGTTCATTGGCAAATTTCAGACGGGCATGTATATGTGCTTTCTTGGGCAGGGGGACCTTGCGGGCGCTGCAGGATTTCAGTCCTTCCCGGCGTAGTGTGTTACCAATTGTTTTCTTGGTGACTATGGTCCCAGCTGCCTTGAGATCATTGACAAGATCCTCCCGTGTAGTTCTGGGCTGATTCCTTACCGTTCTCATGATTATTGCAACTCCACGAGGTGAGATCTTTCATGGAGCCCCAGGCCAAGGGAGATTGACAGTTCTTTTGTGTTTCTTCCATTTGTGAATAATCGCACCAACTGTTGCCACGTTCTCACCAAGCTGCTTGGCAATGGTCTTGTAACCCATTTCAGCCTTGTGTAGGTCTACAATCTTGTCCCTGACACCCTTGGAGAGCTCTTTGGTCTTGGCCATCGTGGAGAGTTTGGAATCTGATTGATTGCTTCTGTGGACAGGTGTCTTTTATACAGGTAACAAGCTGAGATTAGGAGCACTCTCTTTAAGAGTGTGCTAATCTCAGCTCGTTACCTGTATAAAGGACACCTGTGAGCCAGAAATATTTCTGATTGAAAGGGGGTCAAATACTTATTTCCCTCATTAAAATGCAAATCAATTTATAACATTTTTGACATGCGTTTTTATGGATTGTGTTGTTATTCTGTCTCTCACTGTTCAAATAAACCTACCATAAAAATTATCGACTGATCATTTCTTTGTCAGTGGGCAAACGTACAAAATCAGCAGGGCATCAAATTCTTTTTTCCCTCACTGTACGCACAATATCAATACAATGAATGAACACTGTCGCATAATAACATTGTCTTAGATAACATGAATCTCAACAATAGGTCCTGGATGGACTAGGCACATACATTAGCACTGAATAGCTATACAGCAAGAGAATAAGATACTGTGTTAAATAAGGTCACTTTATATAGTCACCATGCTGCAACCTAAATGTACAGCGCTGCATATAACACTGAATTGTGTATGAGATACTTATTCATCCTTGCTCTCAAGAACACGTTAAAGTTACATGGGCACAATTCTGGCTTGACGTATCCAACTACAATTAACATTCACAATAATGCAAGTGGCAGGCTTTGTTGTTAACTAGGCCCCATATTCATCGTAACAATTTAACAGCATTATAAAGGCATTTACAGCATTATAACACCAATCCCAACATTGTAACAGCAGTCCCAGTATTAGAAGAACATAAACGAACTTACACACAATGCTTCTTAAAGTCCTGCAATGAACAGATTCACCTGTCTTCACTGAGATGCTATTTGTGCCTCCATATTGTACTCTGTGTAATGGCTGACACCCCCTACTGGCCTTGTGGCTTAAATAACTTTAACCCAGAACTTCCTGGTTACGTAACCAAACTCAGCACTCTCATATCAGGAAGTTAATGGATAAACACACCCCCATATCTGCCGTCGGACAGAACACCGATCCTTACATTCTGTGAGGATTATCTGACCATACTTCCAAAAGCTGGTCAGGGCGGGTTGGTAATGGGGGGAGTACAGACCTAGAGAGGATTTTGCTGCACTGCCCACATCACCTACAGCACCTGTTTTTTTTTTACATATGGTCGCCCATCCAAGCAGGCTCAACTTTGCTTGGCTTCTCAGGTCTGATGGGATACGGGCATATTCTGGGTAATTTGGTCATTGGCACGATTTAATTACTTTAAATAAAAATACGTTAGGGCTCGGTTATGAGTGCAGCCACTATATCGATGTCACACGATACCTGTGCTTTGTGTATTTGAGCATGTGTATGTCAGTGGTTAGCGCACTTTTTCCATGAACCCGGCGACCCGAATTTTATTCCTTCTCACAGTTAATATGAGTGACGAATATCTGAACCAGTTTTGGGACCTCCCTAGGTCGACTCAACCTTAAACTAATACTGGAGAGATAAAGGCGGCCAGGCGTGGTTCTGGCCATTCCATCCCCACGTGTAGCCATACCGGCCTTCGTGAGATGCGCACTAACAACACTTGCCCCAACAAGCCTGTATTGCCTACACAGGGGATCTTTGTCTTTGCGCGTCTGTGTGCACGCACGGTAGGGCAACGTAATGTTCGGATGCCCGGCGGAGGTCGCACTCATTCCCGTCACGTTCCCCAGCCCTGGTGGGTACTTGGCGCTGGCTGGCCACTTGCTGTGGCCCAACCACGCACAGCCTCAGATCCAGTCGCTGGGGCTGCAGTTCCGCACGTGGGACGCCACAGGGCTGCTGCTGCAGGTGGTGTCGGTGGCGCAAGGCCACGGCGTGGAGGGCCTGCGCTTGGCCCTGAGCGAGGGGAAGCTGCACATGACCTCCTCTCTCAATCTCCAAGGGCGCACCGAGCTCTTCCTAGTTACTGGTGAGTTTCAGAATTCTCCAGTGGTTTCACGCTGGCCCCTAATATTTTCTGGAACACTGCTCGGCTGGCTTGAGTTAGGGGTTATTGGCATGAGGCACTACCACGAGAGTACAAGGTACACTTATCCATATTATTTTATACTCTATATTTGTGTAGTTCTACGGACAGGTTTATAAATTCTTATAAGAAAATAATGCGAGATGGGTGTGGCCAATTCCTGAAAGTTCTGCACATTTTGTGAATATTTCATTGTGTGTTTTTTACAAAGATAAAAATGCTTAAATGCTTTACACCTCTGATATATAAGTGAATTGTTGGTTTTGATTATTGATGTATTCCCTCTTGGTTTTGATTATATGCCAATTTGTATTTATAAGCTATAGAAACTAGTATGAAGGTCTCTCGACACACTGCGTCGGCCATGGGCGTTGTTTGACCGTACTTCACCACACTGGTCAGTGCGGGTTGGTGAAGAAGACTAGGACTTGTCACTCGCCAACGACATTAGCTGTGACTGGGAATCGAACTTAGGTGGGCGGGTTCATAGCACCATACGTTAATGATTGCACCACTCTTTCGCTCCATCGAACGTTGTATTTTTAATTTACAATACAATCATAGAGACGTCATTATCCAGCTATTACGTGCAATGGAGATGTAAATGGTTGTCCTCAACACTTATGATCTCAATTGCATTTTTGGATAAATCCTATTGCGAGAGGAAGACGGTACAAGGGTGATGACTGTTTCTTCTTGTTCATAGGAAATGAAAAAACAATGCTGCGGGCTCCTGGTACAATTCTTCCAACTTGACAACAAATGCAGTGGGTCCAATACGAGGAGAGATGGTTCTTTAGAGGCAACACGTTTATTACAAACTATGGGTACATAAGGTTAAACGGCCCCTTACACCCGATACCCTAAGGAGGTAGCCCCTCCGGACTAATGTGCCCTCAAATGGTTATAGTGCTAACCCTACACTGGTTATTTTCTGAACCCGACCCTAGCCAGCAGTTCGGGTTCTGCCCACTGGGCTCTTCTCTTCAGGTCTTCAGGGTGGCTCTTCGGGTCTTCAGATCTTCAGGTCTTCAGGTGGACGAGGACTGCCGGACCCATTCAGGGGTCCGGCTTTTATACTCGCTCCAGAGTCTCTCCGCCCCTAGCCACACCTTCCTTCTGGAACTCTCTAGGGGGCCCTGGAACTTAACGGAATCCCCCCTGCCCGCCTATTGGGGTCTGGGGTGCCTGGTGGCCAAGGGCCCGACTCATCCCACCTAGCCTGTCTACCACCCCCTGTTGACACATGTCCGCTCCTGCAGGTAAGGGTCAATGGTGAATATACATACAGCCTAACAATGGCACTATATTATCCCCTCCTTGTAGCTTCCAAACCATGGAAGAGTATGTGTGCCTCAATAAAAAACTAGAAAAGCAACAAAACGAGTAGTCCCGCATAAATACCCCAGCCCACCTGTACAAATATACACTATACACATATATACAAGCTGTTGCACGTACAACCGCACCCACGCAACCAATCAATGACAATGCGGCCGACCGACGGCAAGACAAAGGCAAGAATAACCACCAAACAAAACTGCCAGTCGGACACGAGGGTAAATGTGCGGTGCGTAGGACGTGAGAGTGTGGGTAGGTTCATGAAAATGGTTGAATTTTTGAGCGAGTCCACGTTGCTGGTCCGTCCGAAGGGGCAGAGGGTTGTCGAGGTGGGTCTGCAGGAACCGAATCAACATGGCGGATCGCCGGCAGGGCAGGCAAGTTCTCGTCCTCAGGATCTGCCGGCATGGACCGCCGTGGCAATGTCACTCCTGCGTCATCTGAGAGTCAGGCACCGTGGACACATGACCTGGCTCGTCGGACACATCATGCTCTCGGCCCCCGTGTAGTGTGGCTTAAGATGCGACGGGTGGACGTACCAGCGCCGTTTACCATATTGAATTTTAATACATTGCGGCCGGACGACCCGGATTATCTCTACCGGACCCCTCCAAGGTCTAAGCAGTTTTGGCAATGTTGCCAGGGGCACCTGGGGGCAATGGAGCGAAGCCTTGTGCCCTTTAACCCATTTATGACTGGACTTACGAAGGCCTCGCAGGCGTTCATTGGCCAGTTGCTGTGACCCTGAATTAGATTTAACAGCGGCCTCGCATCGACCAATTTTTGAACATTAAAGCGTATGTGATCCTCGATTTTAGATTAGAAGCGGGCGGCTTAATGTGCAATTGAACCTCCACTGGGGGGTTGACCTCCCTGCCATACATTAGGTAGAATGGCGAGAAGCCAGTCGCCGTGTGAAGCGCCATCCTGTATGCAGCCAGGACCCCCGGAATCTGCAGGTCCAATCGACCTGCGACTCGCACACCTGATGGCTCAGCATCGTGGTGAGTGTCCTCTGTAGCCGCTTGACTATACGTCTGTTTGCGGGTGATGTGGTGAGGTACGAATCTTTTGCATGCCGAGCAGGTTGCACACGTCGCACAGCAAGGTGGACGAAAAATGTTTCCCTTGGTTAGTGAGCAGCTGTTCAGGAGCACCCTTATCCATGACATAGCCCTGGAGAAAAGCCTCTGTGATGGCTGCTGCCGATTGATTGGGGAGTGGCCAAGCCATAGGCGATCGAGTGAAATATTCCACCCCAACCAGCAGGTACTTGTTACCCCGGGGAGTGGCAGGAAATTACCCCAGGATGTCCAGGGCGATAAGTTCATTGACGCGGGACACCTGAATGGATTGCAACGGCGGGCAGGATGGTCTAGCAGGAGGTTTTCAGCGGGCGCACTGGGTGCAGCCTTGGAGCAAGTTGGCTACATCCCTTGCCATGCCTGGCCAGAAGAAGTGCAGCTGGAGCATAGCAAGTGTTTTGTGCACTCCTAAATGCAGGAGGCGCTCGTGAGCAGCCCACACAGCCTTGCCCCGCAGGGCAGTGGGCACCACCAATTTGTGTGCTTGCAAGCAGCTGTCCCATTTCATCAAGAGGCCGTCTCGTACGGTGAAAGAAGCGGGACCCCCACGACCCTGTGCGACTCTCCGGCCCGATGGTGCAACTTAAGAAGGGAAGCGTCTTCCACCTGGAGACGCCCCCAATCAGCCAGACACAGGCCTAGTAGCGCGTCTTGCGCGACCGACGTGTCGGATACCCCAGGGGGACTGATCCCACCATCGGCCGCAGCAGCGAGGGGCGGAGGTGTGCTGTCAACTGGTTGCCTGCAACGTGCCGAACCGAGGAAGCAATCGCGACAAGGCGTCAGCGTTAGCATGTCGGGCACCTTTACGATAGGTGACCGTGAACGTGTAGTCCTGAAGGACCTCGAGCCAGCGAGAGAGTTGACCGGATGGCTGGTCAACTCATAACGCTTATTGAAGTGCCGCATGGTCCGAACGCACGGGGAAATGCCTACCGTATAGGTATGGCCTGTATTGCTGAATAAAGAAGACTATGGTCAACAGTTCGCGATGGGTGACGCAATAGCGTTTTTTCTCGGGGGTTAACAACACGTTCGACACCGTCGACAACCTGGGAAAATACCCCCCCCCCCAATGCCGGTGTAGCTGGTGTCCGTGTCGAGGACAAACGGCACGGAAAAATTCGGGTAACACAAGGGAGGGGCATTTACCAGGATGTCGCGAAGGGAGTCAAATACGGCCTGTTCTACCTCCCCCAATGAAATTTCGCTCCCTTTGCCATTAGTGCATGGAATAGCTTTGCGATGGATGCAAACCTTGCCACGAACCGCCAATAATAAGATGCACACCCAATGAAGCTTCGTACATTCCCTACTGAAGTGGGGATCGGGCATGAGCGGACGCAACTCGTTTTTTCAGGGTCAGCGGAAATGCCTGACTGGCTAACAATGTGGCCAAGATATCGAACGGAGTCCCGCAGGAGGTGGCATTTTTGCGGTTTGAACTTCAGGTTCGCAGACCGCATCTTAACAAAAACGGCCCTCAATCGGTCAAAATTCTCATCGAATGTATGGCTGAAGACGATAACATCGTATAAATAAATCAGGCATGAATCCCACTGGAGCCCAGCAAGGACTAGCTGCATCAGTCGCTGGAACGTCGCTGGGGCCGAGTGAAGACCCATGGGCAGCCGGTTGAACTCAAAGAGGCCTTGTGGTGTACGGAAAGCCGTCTTAGGTTTCAACGTCTCGTCAAGGGGCAATTGCCAAAACCCCGACAAGAGGTCCAGCGTCGAGAAGTAGCGTGCACCTGCCAAGACGTCTAGCGACTCGTCCATGGGAGGAAGTGGGTATGCATCAACCACTGAGATTTTGTTAAGTTTTCGAAAATACACGCAAAATCTTAAGCTTCCATCATGCTTCTTGACGAGAACAATCGGGGCTCCCCATGGGCTGGTGGATGGGGAGATAATGTCTGCCGCCAGCATGTCATTGACGGCCAATCTGACATCGACAGGACTCAAGCGGAATGGGTTTTGGCGGATGGGAGCGGCGTCCCCCATGTCAATGTGGTGGCTTAGCAATTTAGTACACCCAATGTAAGATTTACCCTGACTAAATACGTCTGAAAATTCACACATCGCACGCAATTTAACCCGCTGGGAGTCAGACAGGTTGCCACTAGCCGAGCAAAGCGAGTCAATACACCGTTCGTCAAGGTCTGAATGCGGTTGCGATTGAGACACATTCCCTATGTGGCCCACTACTGATTCCCCCACGAGCGCTGGTGCTGCATAAGCGAGCAAAGTATCCTGAGGGATGACGGTCGTCCACAACCCTGCATTCAAAACCTGGAGGAAGGGTTCCCTATCACCCAAAACGAGCATCTGTGCACCGACCAGTTCCAAACTCCGGACTGCAGTGTTCGAAGGCCCCAACAAGACACCCGCCGCCATCGCGCCCGAGTCAAGCGGTTTACGAAGCCAAAGGGGAACGAGCATTTGCGCTCCTGGTGGAATGCGTACCGTTACAAAGAACCTCTGTCTTGGAGAAGTGTAAGCCATCTGGCTACCATGAGAGATTCGTTCATGAGGCTATCCACATATACAAGCACAGAGACAATTTCAACCGAGAAGATGGATTCTGGCTTAGCAATCATTGGAAGGATTTGATAAACCATTTCAGGTCTTAATCGATTGTTCACGCTTACGGTGGCTTTCAGACAGCATACATTAATTTTTCGTCTCCCCCCTCCTCTTTTCAGAACATAGATGGACTCGTCCTTCTAAATAAACTGCCAAATCGCTGCCCGTGGTGCTAACGTTTTTTAAAAATAAATAAATACACAGTTTAAAAATAAATAAATAAATGCGGACCGCCACTCCTTTCAAATGTTTCTTGCCGTTGGTTTTTCACACCTGATGATGACCGTTTGTGTTATGGTCGAAACGTCGTGAGAATTTTTATTGTTTTATATATTTTATTATTTTATTGTTTCCCTTCATCGTGACTTTACCGAAAGAGCTAAGAATATGAATTACTGCAGTCACGAAAGCTTTAAATCAAAATCATCCCACCTAGCCTGTCTACCATCCCCTGTTGACACATGTCCGCTATTGCAGGTAAGAGTCAATGGTGAATATACATCCAGCCTAACAATGGCACTACACAAGTATGAATTAGTTAAATTTGTCTCGAACAAATCTTCCTTAGGGTGTTCTCTGAGACTTGTACATTAATTGTCATGGCTATAAGTGTATTATGCATTGACCGTCACTAAATTAATATAACGAAAACCTTGTTTGATTAAAATATATTAAATTCTTCCACAGATTGCTAAAAACATTAGGAATGATTTATGGTCACTAGCATCGTGTGAAAGTGTAACCTTTTTTCAGTCACGTAATGAATAATGAATATGGTATAACCAGGTGTGAATATGGAAACGAAACGACATGTCTCAGACCGCGTCCGTGAACACAAGGCAGATCTGAAACACGGTAGGACCAATACCTTTGCCGTTGCCGATCATTGTTTTAATGCTGTGGGCTCACACGGAATTGATTTTTCCAAGACGGTGGTACTCTGCAAACCAACCGGCTACCTTCAGAGATTTGTTCATGAAGCCATTCAGATATATAAACACAGACACAACTTCAACCGAGAGGATGTGTAAAAATTGAGCAATCATTGGAAGGACGTTATTAACCAGGTAAAGTCTTAACTGACTGTGATGTTTCCATCCAACCTGCCTATGTCAGCTGTTATTTCGACTCTTTATGTCTCTCTCTCTCTCTATGCCTCTCTCTTAGATCTCTCATGCTCACATGTCCGTTGCATTGCACTCTCATGCATTTGTATTGCACTCTCATGCTCACAGGCCCTTTGGATTACAAACTTTGGGTTGCACTCCCTCGTCGAGGAGGCCGCTCTCCTTCTTTTCTATAGTTACATGCTAATTTCTCACATTAACATCATGCTAATCTCTCACATTAACATAGCCACTTCCGTGCCCTCTAATTTCTCACATTAACATCAAGCTAATCCCTCACATTAACATAGCCACAGTCTGCCTCAATAGCAGCAGACAATGCTTTCCCACCTGACAATGGACGCTTGTGTTGTGCCCAAAACGTCGCGGTTTATTTTATTTTATACCTACGTGACTTTACCAAAAGAACCAAAGAGTGTAATATCGGAGACATTTTGGGATTAATTGTTTATTATATCATTATTCCGGCACTTGCTCAAGTCAGGGTATTTTTTTCACAAATGCATAACAAGCCATGGCTTGCTGATGAGATGAAAAACAAGTAAACTAAATTTTAAAAAATCTGTAAATTGAAGTATGTTAAAACCTACGTTTGAAGTTAAGTTCGGCCTATTGAACATTTATCTACAAAATGTTAACTTAAACTCAGCTGAAAAACTGATCATTTTATCTTCTTCTTTAAAGTAATTGACATCTCGCCACGTTGGCAATATGTTAACTACCTCGTCTGGCATACAGGAGGTTGTGGGTTCGATGCCGACCCTGACGCCTGTATATTTGAAGTTAGCATGTTCTCTCTTCCCGTGGTCACATAGATTTTTCTCCGGTCCTCCGGTTTTCCTCTACACATTTAGAATGAACATGCATTTAGAGTAATCGTTGTAATATATTTCCACGTAATAAGACACATCATTCGGCTATCATTTGTGACCAGATTGCTTCTGAAAAAGAGCTATATAGCTCAGTGAGCCTTACCTGGTAAAATACATTTAAAAAAATAGTTTATAAATGCGGTTCAGTTAATCATACATTTTTGTTGTTAGTTATACAGTACACCCTGTATTACTTAGTGCACAGGGGACTTTGTGCTTAAAATGCTTGTAATTAAGTTGTATTTCATCCGACAGGTGTTGCAGTGCAAATGGTAACCCCATGGGTTAAAACAGCAGTCTTGCCGACACTTCGTTTAATGCATGATAGACTGTTCACTGTTTAGTGTGATAATTTGTTTGTTTTAATTGCTTGACGAATTTCATTTCTTCTTCATGGTTATTTTTTAAAAAATCTCTTTTAGCGGAGAATTTCCTCTCACGTGTGATTGTAAAACTGTCAATTATCGTGCTTTTAAACGCACAAATAAAAATGTCTATTCCCTATAATATATCATCAGCTTGCAACAAAAGCCATATATTGAGATTTTTTTACAGTAGTTATTAACAACTTATATTTGCAATTCAGTTAATATCTAGCCATTGTCAGGGTGGGGAGCCAAGTGAACCAGTCTGGTTTGAGCAGACCACATGGAAAGTACAGCCTGAACAAGTGATTTCTGAGGCTGCACATTCTTAAGGGGCAGTGAGCACTCCTACAATTGCTTTCATAACTACACGTTTGAATTTTTTTCAAATATTGACCAAAAAACTTCTGTGCACCCTACTACATCAGAGCAATATGTTTTTGCCTCTATGTTTTGATGTGTGTGCGTGTGTATATTTTTAAATGTGCTGATAGAAATGTCTCTAAATTGTCTTTTTTTTAGTCTGTGTATAGTGTGTATATGTGTGATCTTTCATGTATTGCAAAGTGGCAGATTGACACTACTGCGAGCGCTTGTGTGTATTTGAATATGGCTACACTGATGCATTGTGATGTATGACCAATGCACAGAAAGTGGCATACAAATGCTCTGATTAGTCTCACTAATTATTAATCAAACAAACATTGCAAATGTATTCTTAGCTCTTTCGGTAAAGTCACGTTGAAGGGAAACAATAAAATAATAAAATATATAAAACAATAAAAATTCTCACGACGTTTCGACCATAACACAAACGGTCGTCATCAGATGTGTCGGTTTGTGTTATGGTCGAAACGTCGTGAGAATTTTTATTGTTTTATATATAATTTATTATTTTATTGTTTCCCTTCAACGTGACTTTACCGAAAGAGCTAAGAATATGAATTACTGCAGTCACGAAAGCTTTAAATCAAAATTGCAATTGTATTCATAAGCCATTTCGCGTGGTAAATTTCTGCATAGTAATGTTGGCCCCAAATTTGATTTACCTAAAACCCTTCATCTGTGTGCGTGCTGTATTCGACTCTTCATGCGCGTGTTCTATTTCACTCTCATGCCCCAGGCTCCTCGCTGAACGATGGGGAGTGGCACGGGGTGACGCTGCAGGCGCGCGACGACTCTCTGCTCGTTATGGTGGACGGGCGCGAGCACTTCGTCATGCTCTCTCCAGTACTGCACCTCATCGCAGGAAACGCCTACTATTTTGGTGGTACTAATACCACACCTGGTCATTATGCCTTTCTTTGTAGTATGTTTTTATTCTTGGCATTTAAAAAGCAAGGGTCAAGTTTATAACTTGTATGTGTTGAGTTTGAAAAACCATTCATTGGTATCTGGGGCAGCCATATGAATGCCATTTGTACCTCCTGCAAAATCATGTGTGGGCCAGTGATTGGTGATGTGAGTGATGGGTTGCACTTTACCATAGTCACAATGAAGTAACTCCTTAATGCCCCACTTATGGAGGAGGCAGCAGCCGCTCCCACGTGTAGTTCTAAGATGGTTAAGTGTAATCCAGTGTTTTTGAGACAAAGAGAAGCCAAGTGTGTTAATGCTAACGACACAATTATATTTTTGTATGCACTATAATCATGTATTTAGAAAGAGGCGAGGTCACTAGGAATAGTTATTTTTTTTCAAAGGAGAAATCCATGTTGTACAAAGCAAAAAATAATTAAATGCAGAACCAGTGTAAAATGGCAATACAACAGGGCTGTATTGACGCGATTGTCACGCCAAACAATTGCGTCAGGAGCAACGGAGTGTATCGCTGTAATGTCTCCTTCGTATTTGTGGATCGGGCATTGCCTCGTTATATGTTGTATGGTCTGTTCTGGATGACCACAATCGCACATTGGAGAGTTTTTAATTTTACATTTGTGCATCAGGTATCCGCATCTGCCATGGTTTATGTGGATGCGATTTATGGTGGACCATGAGCTTTGTGGAAGATCAAATCTAAGCATCTTCTGTGTTGAGTCTTTCACAAGGTGTTTGTTTGTGAGTTCTTTTGAACTCCAGTTAGCTCTCAAAGCTTCATCGGGGTTGAACCTGCATTGTTGAAGGTTAAGAGCATGGGTCCAAATGGGCTTGCGTGACTTCAAGCAATGACGAGGGACGTTATTGAGGTCCTGATGAATTGGAAAGCGACTGTTTTCCTCAATTTGCAAGGCTTTTCAGAGGGTTGCAGCATTGTGGGGGATAGGCGGGGGAGAGATGTATCACAGCACGGGCAGCCAGGGTGAGAGTTCTAGTGATACACCGCATTGCAGTGTTCAGTTGGACATCAAAAAGTCGAGTGTGACTACTTCTGGTCCATACTGGTACACAGTATTCGGCTACAGGTTATACAATGGTTATTGTTTATGTCCGTAGCACTGGTGCACTGGTGCTGATGCTCCACAACTTGTGCTTGCCAGTTTCTGGAACAGGTTCACCCTTGTTTTGGTCTTGAGGGCTACCTTTTTCAGGTGGTCATGGAAGTTGAGCGTATGGTCCAGCTTTATTCCGTGATAGGTTAGAGTGGGGTCGTGCCACAGTATTGCCATAGGTCACTTTCAGAGTGTGCTTGGCGCTCCTATTATCAAGATGACAATCAGTGAGAATTCATTTTTTTTATTTAAAGCTTTCGTGACTGCAGGGATTCATAGGGAAACAATAAAATAATATTTTTATTATTTTATTGTTTCCCTTCTACGTGACTTTACCGAAAGAACCAAGAATAGTGAGAATTCAGTTAAAATAATACACCACGCATTCGTAAAATCTCACTGATCTTGGCACCGCTGGTACCAGTCATTTGCAAGTCCTCTCAGCTCCACATTCTCCTGTACCGCATAAGCCCATCTCTTCTTTAGCCCATGCTGAGCCCATTTATCTCTATCAAAACAGAAGCTGCTTCGGCATGCGGTGCTACATGACCCAGCCAACGCCTGTATGTGTGCTTATGTTTCTGTTGTTGTTTATTGCTCGTCACGTCGTCGGATCACTTTTCCCCTGTCCATTAGGGCACCCACAGTCTGCTGTGGCCCCTTTCCTGGGCTGCATGCGGCTCATTCACATGGACAACCAGCCAGTGGATATCACGCTGCTCCAGCAGGGCCTGCTGGGCACCTTCATCAACGTGCACTTTGACTTGTGTGGGCTCACTGACAGGTCAGGTTAACCGCTGTGATTTACGTGATGACTTGAGAATAAAATGTCATCTTTGTCTTGGAAAAAAAGCTTAGGGCATAGCACGTGGTAAATAGGTTGTATCTTTTTTCCAACAAACATTTCACTATGTTGCATGGAACTAAAAATATTCATTCATTTGCATTTTTATTCATCATTTGATAGATATGTCTTTTGCTAATATGATCCATTTCATTTAGCTATCCAGCAATGCCTATGATGTCAAGACAGCCAACAACAAAAATATGAAATATACAAAAACACATTTGAACCTTGCAATATCTAGAAGCTAAATTATTTGAAAGAGCACATGTGGTCTGGTTTATTAGAATGCAGTCCGTACATTTCTTCATGATCACATCACCGGCACAACAAAATCATTACGCCACAACTATAGCATTAGTGCTCTGGGGCTGATTGATGAATTGGTGGGTGTTAGCTTTACCGGCAGTCAGTATTACGGATGTCGGTGGGCTGTGTGTGGTTACGCAGGTGCCTGCCCAATCACTGCGAGCACGGAGGGCGCTGCATGCAGACGTGGGGAGGCTTCTCATGTGACTGCCAAGGCACCAGCTACACCGGCAGCACCTGCCACACGCGTCAGTGTCTATAATACAGCAGCAGACTCTCACATCACAGCCATGCAGTCCACTGCATGATCCATTCAGATGGCTGTAAATTATTTGTTTAAACAGGATGTCCAGCCGGAAGATAGAGCTATAAAATCAGTTTGTTATGCAGGTCCTTGGCACATTGTTACATTGCAGGATGGCGATCGGTGGTGGCAGCTTGGGGAGAGCTTCATCCAGCAGTGGATTGACCAAGGCTGGTACTAATGATGAATAAGAGCCTCACTGATTCCCAAGACTCTAGGAGGGCCTTACACTCTGATATTTGGCTGTGGGAGAAAATTGGAATAGCTTATAAACCCAATGCATCAAATTTTAGAATGCCAATATGCTGCACAGATAGTACAGGCACCTACTTGCTGCACTGCATCCATGCCGTCAAACAACTCTACTACAAGGTCAACGGAATACAGTCCTTCAATTTTCATCCTTAAAAGAGGCATACAGTATAAACAGAAAGTATGAATCAACTTAACAAAATGTATATTATTGGGTAACTGACTTGATATGTATTGAATATTTCCAATTGGAAGACAGGATAACAGTGCTAATGTATCATGGGACCTCCTTTGTCAGTACCAAAATATGAGAATAGATTTTCCCATTTTTTACGGAAACAAAACAGGTGTTAAGATGTTAAAACACCAAACTGAAACCTTTTACAAGGAATCATGTTTGCATTAACCACAATACTTGTGGTCAGAATGCAACAAAAACATACTCTGATAATATATGCATTATCTTTGAAACTGATTGGTCCACACCAGAGCTTTCTTTAGTCTCAAACTGTTTTAGACCAGAAGACGCAAAAAGGCTGCGATTTCATTGCTCCATCTCCATGTGCGACGATTTCTCGTGCGCGTTTCCCGACCTTTGGTTGCCACTTCATCATCAGTCTCTACCATTGGCCATCATCCCCCCTCCCCCCTGCAAGCAACGTGTCCTTCCATAGGCCACTTACTTATCTAGATAAATATTTGTTAGATGCCGTACATATTTCTAATTGAAAACATAAAATATGATAGTGTACATAGTGATTGTAATTTAATATTTTGAAATGAATTGTAACTTTTGCTAATTTCTGAGTGAAACGTGATTATTATTCTAACAATTCTCAAAATTCAATGACTTGCATAATGTGGAGTGATACAATTCATGATAATCGTGCACATTTACTTCAATGGGTTTTTAGGGAAAATATGAGTTTAGAGTACATTCATTGTTTTAATGTGCTCCAACATTGTAGATTATATTTGCAGTGATCAGGATACAGAGAAATATACGTGTACACATGCATCCAAAACAGACAATCTGCCCGTTGAGCCTAACCGAAATGGGGAATATTTTTCAGATCCCAAAAAAATAGTTGACAATTTTAACCTTCATTTTTCTGAAGCTGGTAATCTTTTTGATAATGTATTGGGAGTCACCCCTGCTCATGCAAATTCCTACACCCCTGTCCAAACATTAAACGAATTTAGTTTCCAGCCAATCCACGAAAGTAATGTTCTGAAACAACTGTCCTACCTCAAAGGGTCCTCCTCTACCGGAGCAGATAGTATTCCCGTCTTTGCTCTACTAACTGTTAGTCACCTAATATACAAACCTATGGCCCATATTTTCAACCTGTCCATCAAAGAAGCATCAGTTCCTCTAGAATGGAAACATTCCTATGTCCGTCCACTTCACAAAGGGGGCCCTAAAGATGATCCAAATAGCTACCGACCTATCTCAATTTTGTCCCCATTGATGAAATTTTTTTTAAAATTATTGACCTACCAAATTAGCAGCTTCCTGTCCACCAACAATCTACTACATCTAAAACAATCTGGGTTCCGAAAAAAATACAGCACCACATCTGCTGCATTAGACTCTCTGAATCACATTTACAGTAGCCTTGATAATAAGCAGTACTGTGCCTGTCTTTTTCTAGACCTGTCCAAAGCTTTTGATACAGTAGACCACAACACCCTGCTTAGTAAACTAAGTTGCCTCGGTTTTTCCGAAAACGCAGTAGAATGGTTACAAAATTACCTCTTTTCTCACACCCAAACTGTATTAATAGATGGTTGGAGGTCAAACAGTGTTAAGATAACAAAAGGGGTTCCATCCTCGGCCCCCTCTTGTTCTTTCTTTATGTCAATGACTTGGGCACTGACCTGGATCATTCCAGGGTAAATCTTTTTGCAGATGACACGATACTAATTACTGCTGGCTGCTCTCCGGATGACGTGATTGCTAAGCTACAGGGTGATTTCAACAAACTACAACATCAGCTAGTTGCTCTTAAACTCGTCCTGAATACCTCCAAAACAAAGGTGCTATGCTTCTCACCAGGACTAAAGCAGGAAGTTAATTTTCCCCAATTACATTCCTTAAATAATTATCAAATAGAGCAAGTCAAGATCTATAAGAATCTTGGGGTCATCCTTGATTCCAAACTGAATTTTGAAGATCACATTGATTATATTGGTAAAAAGACAAAAATAAAAATTGGTTTTCTGTATCGACACAAGCACTGCTCCCCCAATGTTCCGTTTGGAATTGATAAAAGCTACCATACTGCCTCTACTTGACTACTGTGACATCGTGTATAAATCAGCCCCAAGTACTGTACTGAAGAAGCTTGATTCCATCTATCACTCGGCCTTAAGATTTACATTGAACTGCCCATATAGGACTCACCACTGTGATCTCTACATTGGGTCAAACTTAACATCTCTTAATGTTCGACGGCTTGTGCACCAGATCGTATTTATTCACGATGTACTTACAAAAAAATCCGCAGACTACCTGCTGGATCACCTCTCTGTTTCAAAGAACAAATTTGACCTCAGGTCTTTGCTTATTTACCAGCTTCACATTCCCTATTGCCGTACAAAAACTGGAGGAAGGGCCTTTGCTATTGATGCCCCCAGGGTCTGGAATGCTATTGCCAATAAACTGCAACTTGAATCGCTACCAATGAGATTTTCTCTCAAAACTGCTCTAGAGTTGTACACCCCTAGCTGCCACTGCTATTAATTGGCGTAAAATAAAATGAAATGTTTCGCTCCGAATGACGCTGCAAAGTATTATCTGTATTTTGATTTAGCGTGCTGATCTTAAAGGTGCATTGAAACATTTGATACTCCGACTGATGCTTCTGTTGTTGTGGAGTAACTCATGCAGCCAGCTATGGCTCTAGAATTTGGTGTTACATGTTATTTATGTAGTTTATTGTAAAAATTCGGTCACAGTCCCTATGATCACTGTTACGTTGCAATTATGGCTTTATTTTTTGGTGATTTCGAAAACGTTTTTTGGTTTGGACATGTTTGTTTTGTTGTAGTACGGATTTAGACTGATGGCCTTAATCTAAGTTTTCTTGTGGTTGTTGTTTGACTTGCATACCACTGGAATTTTTTGCACACAGCGTTGGTGTACGGTGCTATTTTGCTGTTTTTTGCATGTATTTTCTGTTTGCACAGTCACATAGTCACTTTAAGATGTTTTCTTGTTCGTGTTTTTGTTTTTTGTTTGTTGTGGTTGCACCCGATTCAAGAGCCGAATGGCTCACAGGGCTATACCAAAATATATGAACTGAAAAAAGAACTGAACTGAAATGCGACCGAGACAAGTGGTTTCCCCATCCGGGAGAAAATGAAAAGCAGACTCGTAACCCTGTGATTCACATTTGTACTTGTATTTTGTTTACCCAGCTGCCTACGAACTGTCATGTGAGGCATACAAACACCTGGGCCGGGCATCTGGGCACTACTGGGTGGACCCTGATGGCAGTGGTCCTCTTGGGGCCCTTCTGGTGTTTTGCAATATGACAGGTAAGGTGTCTAATGCACTATGTCGTGTATTTTCTCTTTCATGGCCAAAGATGAAAACAAAGTTTAATTTGAAAGTAAACCAGTAAACTATAAATTAATTATGCAATTCTCTTGGAATCTGTTGAAGGCTTAATATTTTAAACTAGATTAGAAGCTTTCGTGACTTCCGGAATTACTCTTTGATTCTTTCGGTAAAGTCACGTCGAAAGAAATTAAATTAAATAATAATAGAATACGACATTTCGATTTCAACACAAGCAACCATCATCAGGTACAAATGAATGAGAAAACAAACATAGTAAACATGGAAATATAATGCAATACAACACAGAAAATCAGCCAACGAAACAGTCAACACCCCACCAGGTTGATTACGTTCTTCCAAAGATTGCTAAATTTGATAGAGAGACAAAACGTAGACACGGAGACACACAGACAGACACACAAGCAGAGAGGGACTCACACAGAGACATACAGAGGCACAACCAGGTGTTGACTGTTTTGTTGGCTGACTCTCTGTGTTGTATTGCATTATATTTCCAAATTTACTATGTTTGTTTTCTCATTCATTTGTACCTGATGATGGTTGCTTGTGTTGCAATCGAAACGTCATATTCTATTATTATTTAATTTAATTTAATTCGACGTGACTTTAACAAAAGAACCAAAGAGTTTATTATTTTCATAAGCCAACATTTGTTTTCCAACAGCACAACACTTTCATTTTCATTTCACACGAAAAAAATAGTGAATAGGCTGGGGACAACAGCCGTGTATTGACCAAGCTCCTCGCTTTTGTGTAAGAGTGCAATGAGGCTATTATATAAGACTTTTGGGCAGTTTGTTTAAAGGGCACTGTAACAGCATTGTGTATTGCTTTTCTTTAGGGCGTTCTGCAAAAGTGTTCATAAGCATCTAGAATTTGACCATTAACTCTGCAAGATTAAATTACAAGTCTGGCCATCACTAACATAAAAAAATTCCTGGCATGCAGCCTGCAATTTTAAAGAGCTGCAAGCATGCATTAATGTGTGGATATTAGCCACCAAGAAAATTAACTGGGTTTCTTTGCAAAGTATGTCAGCAGCTGCTAAAGATTAAACAACCCCCAGTGACCATGCCAATGTCAACGCGGCAGCCGCAGTAATTTTTGTCCACCAACAAACACACTATCCCCCTCAGATTCCATTTTGGCAGTTGACATCTCTATCATATGTTGTACAAATGTAGTGACGCAGTTCGGAGATAGGAATAGTTTGAGGCACTTTCCTTATTCTTGCACGCAATGGGGACTACATGCACCTTACATGGGTCCACACTATTTATATATTGCACAATCATATATTGTTGGCGGCTCTATCTTGCTAGTACATTTGGCAGGCTGCCTAGCTAGCGGCGCCCAGTGATGGTGAAGACGGCGGTGACGAAGGTGACGAACAGAAGATGGTGGCGCCGATGGTGATGAACAGTAGCACAGTGAGGGGATCCACTTCCAGCAACAGATCCGAGCTCTCGCCCAGGGCTTCCTCTTATCCTCCCGGCGTGGCCTCACAGTCGCACACCTCTCGTAACAATTTAGAAGAGAAATTCTTCCCCTGATCTGTGAAAAGTTGTTCAGGCGCTCCCTTATCCATGACGTAGTCGTGCAAAAATGCATCGGAAATAGGTGCGGCCGACTGGTCAGGCGGAGGCCAAGCCATCAGCCACCGGGAAAGATATTCCACCCCGACTAAGAGGAATTTATTTCCCCTCTGAGTAACCTAGAAACGGCCCCAATATATCCAGTGTGACTAGCTCGTTAATTTGAGACACAGTGATAGATTGTAACGGAGGCTGAGCCTACCTCGACGGTGGTTTGCGGCGTGCGCAGTCAGTGCAACCTTTAACCAGGTGGTATACATCGTCTGTCATACCCGGCCAATAGACGTTCCGCTTCAGTGTTAACAATGTTTTACGAACTCTGAGGTGCATTAGTTTCTCATGCACCAGCCGTGTGAGCTTACCCTGCAGAGCAGTGGGCACCACCATACAATAGCGCTGCCGCTCCTCATCCCATTTCATCAAAAGCCCTTCATGAAGGACTAAAAGGGAGACCCCCGCTGGAACAGTTTTACTGACTCTTGTCCCAACGCGGCGCCACAATTTTAACAATGAGACGTCCCCCGTCTGCAGCCGTCCCCACTCAGCATGCATGAGACCCAGCGTGCCATCACTAGGCGCAGCCACCGCGGCTGGTGCTGCATCGCCGGTTGCCACCACAACTTGAGGCGAACCAGCCGGCAATGGCTTACACCAGCCCGCACCCATAGAACACTCACACTGGTCACCCAGTGGTAGGCGGGACAGCGCATCTGCGTTGCAGTGCCGCACACCTTTCCTGTAGATGACAGTGAAGGAATATTCCTGCAGTATTTCCAGCCAGCGAGACAGCTGGCCGGAAGGCTGGTCAATACGCAGGGAGTATTGGAGGGTCGCGTGGTCCATGCGCACAACAAAGTTCCGTCTATAAAGGTGCGGCCTATACTGTTGGACAAAATAAACCATGGCCAACAGTTTCCTGCGCATCACATAGTAGCGCTGTTCTGCGGGGGACAACACACAGCTACCATAGGCCACAACTATCTCTGTGTCGTTCATTACCTGGGACAGTGCAGCACCTATCCCAGTGTCGCTGGCATCCGTGTCCAAAATAAAGGGCAGAGAGAAATCGGGGTAGCCGAGACAGGGCGCATTGGCGAGGCCATCATGCAACGCAACAAATGCGGCCTCCTCCCCCCACCGAAGTCTCTGGCCCTTAGCAGTCAGCGCGTGGAGTAGTCTGGCGATCGTCGCAAACCTTGGGACAAACCGGCGATAGTAGGACACAATCCCGACAAAACTGCGAACCTCACTCACCGACTTGGGGGTTGGCCATGTGGGCACGCATGCAGTTTTGTTGGGATCCGTTGCTATCCCGGACACACTAATAATATGGCCCAGATACCGCACAGATGTTTGCAAAAGATGGCACTTTTGTGGTTTGAATTTGAGATCGGATGCCCGAACTTTAATTAACACTGACCACAATCGACACAAATGCTCCTCGAACGTACGTCCAAACACAATGACGTCGTCCAGGTAAATGAGGCACGAGTCCCATTGGAGACCTGCCAAGACCAATTCCATCAGCCGCTGAAACGTGACTGGAGCCGAATGCAGCCCCATGGGAAGATAGTTAAATTGGAATAATCATTGGGGCATTTGGAACGTGGTCTTAGGCCTGGATTCGTCATAAAGGGGCAGCTGCCAGAACCCTGACAACAAATCGAGGGTTGAAAAGAACCACATGCCCAACAACGCATCCAAAGAGTCGTCCATCCGAGGGAGCGGATAAGCATCAGCCACAGAAATTGTATTGAATATTCGGAAATCCACACAAAAGCGCAGACTCCCGTCCCGTTTTTTTACCAAAACAATGGGAGCCCCCCACGGGCTGGTGGACGGAGAGATAATGTCTGCAGCCACATCTCATCAACTGCCTGGTGAACATGGTCCTTCTCCCTAGGGCACAGTCTATAAGAATTCTGTATTATGGGGGCTGCTTTTCCCGTGTCGATGCGGTGTTGCAGCAACGAATTGCAGCCAATATCAAATTTACCCTGGATAAAAATATCAGCAAAGTCCTGCAACAGAGCACGCAGCTTCTCTCGCTGTTCTCGGGACAAATCGGAATTTTCCAAACACAATTTCTCTATCCAAGTGCCATCCGACTTGCCTCCCTGCTTCACCATGCCAACGACCTCCGTGGCAGCGATGTCATCCGCCGCACAGTGTCCAGCTATTGCATGGGCTAAAACTGTGCCGGCTTGGACCACGGCGGGCTCTAGCCCCAAATTAAACACCTGTAAAAAGGGCTCCTGGTCCGCCCTCACGATGGTCTGAGCGCCCACCAATGTGAGACCCCGAGTCGCTGTATTAGAGGGGGTTAAGAGGACCCCTTCCTCGGAATTTGCCAATTCCAGACGCTTCCGGAAGCATAAGGGCACTAGCATCTGTGCACCTGGTGGAATTGTAATGAAATCCCTCGCTAGTGCCTGAACTGTAGCGTTATCCACTGCCAGCCGAGTAGGGGACTTCAGGAAGACAACCACTGCCCCGATGGCATTTCGATATACCCTTGATCTACAAGGATCTTGAGGGGCATCATCCTAAAAAAAATCTGTGGCCAGAAGACAGAGCACAGCCAATGTCTTGGAGACCAATACCGGCCCTGTTAACTCAATTTCACTTATCCGGACCCTCGTCACTATTTGTCCCATGATTCCCAAACTCCCGCCGTATGCGGCAACGCAAGCACTCGCGACCGGGCTAAGGCAACAGGCTCTCAATGGCAACAGATTCAAAATGAGCTCTGAAATGAGCCGTAGCTCCCGTGTTGACCAGAACCCTCACCTCTATACCCTGAATAATCCCACCGCTGACGAACCTGCTGCAGCTGCCACAACACGGTGCGCCAACTCATTCCACTGCTTATGCATGGCCACCCATCCGACGCTGGAGTCCACCGCCCACGTGCCAAGACAATATGAGGGTTGGCAACGTGCGAATCGGATGCACACAACAACTAAGATGCGTGAGGTGATATTTGCGGCTGAGTGTCTGATGTGTCGCGACTTGCCTGTGAGGCCAGGGAGCGGATGTCAGCGGGGCGGAGGACGTCGAAGGCAAGGTAGATGATCCAGCGCTGTTCCAGCACCGCTTGGCGATGTGGCCCAGCTGGCCGCACTTGAAACAGGCGGTCGCGGACCCCCACACTGGAAGGGGGTCCCTCCCTCGTCACTTCCGCTCTGGCTGCCGTCCCTTGACTCCCCTCCCACGTGCGCCCCAGACAAACAAAGCGCAGGCCCGCTCTGGCTCCCTCATTGCAGGCCCTTCCGGATCCGCAGGCTCCCCCGCACAAGCAGCCACTGTGGGCCACTGCCGCAGGTTAAGGTGCACCTGTATACACCGGGCCACCTTCAGAGATGACAGGTCGTCCTCCGTGATGGAGAGGGCGACGCTTAACTTCTGTGCCAACGACAGCAACCTCTCCAGTGCCAGGGAGTCGAGCGCCGCCCGGTCCATGTGAGGATAGGCTGCTTGGCCCAAGGCCAGCAGCATGCGGCGGAAGGCATCTCGGCCTCCCCCCACCTCCTCAGGAAGAACCTCCTGCGGGCATTGGACAGCGGGTCGAAAATGGCGGTCATTTGTGCATATTCCCGAGGTAGAGTCGCCTGGTCCGCCTCCAGGATGGCCTTGAACGCCGCCAAGGAGTCATCATCCAGCATCATTGGCAGAGCGCGTAGAGCCTCCAACCAGCCGATGTACATGTAAGCCGCTTCAAAACAGCGTTGCAACGCCATCCAGTCACCCCCCTACCGTTATGAACTCACGGATGGGAGGCAACCACCTTGGCTGGAATGGCGCTCCCACGAGCGCCGCCAGGGGCAACTCAGTTTTGGTGCCAAATGGTTCCCGCTACTTTGACAAAATGGCGGGCGCCAGGTGCGCTGTGCCCGCGATGGATGAAATGGCGGGCTATTCCTCCGCGGGCACGGCGATGGAAGGCATCCCGATCGCCTGCAGCCCCTGTGCCGCGACTTCTCCAGCGGGTGCAGCCGCAGCAAGCTAGGCAACCAGCTGCACGGCAGAAGATAGCAGCAGCCTGAGGTGCCCAGTGAGCTCGCACCACCCCTCCTCCGCAGGCAGCAGCAAATGAACCGGTGCCCTGCTCCCGTTGCTCCGCAGACACCATTCCCGTGGAACCCATGACCAGGGTCCCGGACTCCGGGGCTGTTGGGGGGATAACATCCTCGCCGTCCTCATCCTCTGACAACACTACAGGTGGGTTCTTCCTTTTCGCTGCTTTCGACATGAAGAATTATTTTTTGACACTTCTGTCACCAAATGTAGTGATGCAGTTCGGAGACAGGAATAATTTGAGGTACCTTCTTTATTCTTGCATGCAAAGGGGACTACACGCACCCTACGTGGGTGCACACTATATATATTGCACAACCATCTATTGTGGTCGGTACTATCTAACTAGTACAGTTGGCAGGCTGTCTAGCGAGAAGCGCCCAGTGATGGTGAAGACGGCGGCGACGAAGGTGACGAACAGAAGACGGCGGCGATGATGGTGATGAACAGTAGCACAGTGAGGGGATCCACTTCCACCAACAGCCCCGAGCTCTCGCCCAGGGCCTCTTTTATCCTCCCGGCATTGCCTCACTCCGCCCTTGCCATGCCCCCCTTATGGAACCTACTAGCAGGTTCCCGTGGCTTCCAGATGGACCCCTTCCTGAACTTTCTCTTAGTTGTCTTCCCCCCGTATATACTGTCGCCTGCTTACGTGTATACTGCCCTATGGTGCAGTATCACTTTCCGTTAATGAGACGTGATGCGTCTCTGTGTGCGCTTCAGAGGACAAGGTGTGGACCACCGTGACCCACGAAAATATGGAGAAGACGGTCGTGCAGGGCGCCAGCGTCACGCAGCCTTTCCTTGTGATGTTCACCTATGGCGCCACCGCAGAACAGCTGGCGGCCATTGTGGCCTCGGCTGAGCACTGCCAGCAGGAGGTGGCCTACTACTGCAAGCGCTCTCGCCTGTTCAATGCCCCAGGTACCCACGCGGAAGCTGCGTTCTCACATTCGTTTGTTATGGTCACATTAAAGTGTGTAATAGTTAAAGGATGTCAGGTGTTCAACTCACGGTGTCATTTTTGAAAAGTTTTAAAATTGAATTATTTAAATCAATAAGCAACTTTAGAGATTAAGCTAATTTCGACATGTATTCTACATTAATTTTGTTAAATAACATGTTGGGTCCATTTACGTGGATGAATGTAATATATGTGTTTTGCTTCTGTCACATTTTAAAATAAGTGTTAATGAAATACACATCAGGTATTGTATTGTATTGATGTGTACCATTTAATGTATCCATAATAGAGGTTGTTTTGGGTTAGATCACGTAAATATATAAATGTCATTAAAACCTGCCACCACCTGACAGCCAACTCGTAAGGGTTGTCACGTAAACATGCCAATTCGTCACTAGTACAGCACACCGGTGTGTTGGAGAGCCAAGCCACAACGTTTACAATCTGAGTACGACATTTCACCAGTAATTACAACTAGCTTCATCAGGCGACAGCCAGATTTGTGGAGAAGTCTAACTGTTTTGTTCCTTATATAGAGGCGTAGATGTGGTGACCACGCTTTTGCGCTCTTACGCCACGTGGAGGGAATTACTGAGGCAACGTACATTATGCATTATGCAAGCCCTTCGAACTTGTCCTTCCTGTCTATTGTGTGTATTAAAATAGCCGTACCAACGGTAATCCTTATTGAAGTATGCTGCACTTTGTAGACATGCATTGAAATAATGTATGATTTGATGATTCACTTCCATGCAGCACTAAGGCGGTAGCTATCCGAACGGTTAAAGTAATTTTTATCTATTTCAATTTCGAAAGATTATCCAATTAGTCTTGGCCAGTCGTAGCTAGTTTTGCACAGAACTTCAACATGATCAAAATCAATTGATCGTCCTTGTTGGCACGTGTGTTCTGCTGCTGCTGACAGTTGTATTTAGGAGAATTTCATATTTCTCTGATGTTCTTTTAGTCTCGTGCTGATCATCCGTCCTGTTTGCCCAACATAACATTTGCCACACGTGCAGTTAATCCTGTACACACCTTCTGATGATAGCTTCGGTAATACATCTTTTGCACCAGATATACATTTCTGTATTTTATGTACCGTGCCAAATCTGACTTGGATGTTTTGTCTTTCCAAACATCTGGATAATTTATCAGTTACTTCTGCGATGTACGGTATTTTGATCGTTTAAATTATTTGGGTAGTTTCAATGCTCGTGTTATTTTATTTGGTTTTGGCATTCAATGCCCTGTTGATTTGTGCATCATTGTAACCATTCATTTGCAGCGGTTCTTTAACACCATCTGACACTTTCTTAGCTCGATTAATGAGCGTCTTGATAAGAGCACATTTCTGTGCAGGGTGATGGTGTGACTGCATTCAGATAGGCGTCAGTATGCGTTTTCTTTCGGTAAATACTGTGTTAGACCATTTGAGACTAGGCTCCAAAGAAAGCTCTCTCTGGTGTGGACCAATCAGTTTCAAATACAATGAAAATATGATCAGAGTATCAATCTTGATATGAAGCTTTCGTGACTACAGGAATTCATACTCTTTGTTTATTTCGGTAAATTCACGAAGGTAGAAAAATAATAGATCACGGGACTGCTGTCGTAGGAGCTCCAACGACAGCAGTCCTCCTGGAGTTTTAACATCTTAACACCTCTTTTGTTGCCAGAAAAAAGGGGAAACCTATTCTCATATTTTGGTACTGGCAAAGGAGGTCCCATGATATAAATAAGACTTCAGATCTAAAATGAGTTTAACATAGTTATGGTTTCAAAACAGCTTTGGGTGTCGTTACTTAGTACTACCACTGCATACAATACATATATTGGAATGAGTTTTGAATTTTTCAAAATTCTGATCATAATTCCAGATTGTTTCAGATAATTTCTTACGTCTTTTAGAATTTCAAATAATTTACACTGTGATAATTATATATCTGCATATTTAAAAAATACCCTTTGCCATGTGATAATCTTTGGCAGGACAAAAGTGGAAGTGATGGAAAATGAGTGAAATCACTTCTGGTTTCAGATCATGTGGAACGAAAACATAAGTTTGGGTAATATGTCTCGTCCTGATATTTGGATTTTCTGGATTAATCCAGATATCACGCGCACTTCCCTAACATCTATAATAGATTCAATACTTCGCCATATACGTCTTCAATCCTTGGTGACAGCCTAGCGGTAGCGCGTCCCCCGTGTGTTACAGAGGTTCACAGTTCGAATCCAGTAACTCACCTGGTTATTACTGCGGTTGAATTATCTGTAAAAATACGTGCCATCTGCTTCACAATGGATGTTAGAGATCATGTGACTTAATTTGCAAAAGTATGCCATTGTGTATCGGCCTCATTGTCCAAATTATCTAAAAAAAACTGCTCAATTAGGTTAATACACATCAATCATTGCAAATGGAAAATTTGAAGACAAGCCACAATGCAATTGTGGCCATGGAACCAAAAACTATGGACCATATAGTAATCCACTGTCGTCTGCGCTCCTTCAACGGAGGAATAACAAAACGACACAAACTTTCTCCTGAGGCCCTTTCATGGCTATCAGATATCGACATTTCCATTTAGCTCCTGAATATATTGCTGCTGTATGCAAGAATAGAGTAGAATCAACCCCAACTATGAACACTTTCCAGGCTCCTCCTGAAAAGGAGTCACAATACTCAATATGAGAGTGAGGCGTTCCTGAGTGAGACAAGCGTAATCAGTGTATTACACGCATTTGTGATGATCTCTGGGCATGTCGAGTTTATGCCTGTGAGTCGGTGATAAATGCTCATAATGCCGGACCTGCTTGTTGTGTTTAGTTTGTTGTCCTTGAATGCATCTCCAATTAGCACGGTTAGCTATATACGGTGCGACAGAAGTTCAACATACATGCATACAATCCTCACTACTGAAGCAGTGTGGGCTCGATGTCCCCACAGATGGGGAGCCGCACACCTGGTGGGTGGGACAAACTCATGAAAAACAGCGCTACTGGAGTGGCGCTGTCCCCAGGGTGCAGAAGTGCGCCTGTGGCATTACCAAGAACTGCTCCGACCCCAAGTTTGTTTGCAACTGTGACGGATATCTGTATCTCTGGTAGGTAATTGTAGAGGAGCAGTCCTGCAATCGTCCATTCACACCACTGCTGGCGGGAGAGCCTCCACTAGAGGGAGCTCTAGGGAACCTCTCCAGAGGGTTGTAGCCCTGCTCGTCCCCATTGGCCAGACGTTTTACCCCACCGCGTGCAACCTGCCGATCGACAAAATGAGTAGGCCTCTTTAAACCAATGTCTAATTGGTTATCTATCTCTTTGTATTGCTATTGCTTAGCATTTCATAGTGCTGTATAGATAGATCTCTGATGTGTCTTTGGGTCATATCGCTCGCCATGAAGCAGTGCCCAGCATGTGGAGCGAAACTTTGGACATCATGCCGAACAACAACACACGGTAAAACAGGAAAACACAACAAAGAGCTCTCTCTACTTATTAACAACTATCTAATATGTATACGTATTAACTATTTTTTTAAACATCTACTTGTTGCCTTTAATATAATATCTATTATTTCCATTCTCATACCGTTATATCTTGTGTTTACTCACCCATATGTACCACCGCATCTTGCTTATTAAATAGTTGCGCATAAAGCGTATGGTACAGAGCTCATACAGGCTGCAACGGTTATGTGTCACATTGGTTGGCAATAATGTCTGTACATTCTAGATTTGAAGCTTTCACGACTGCAAGGATTCATACTCTTCTGTTTTTTTCGGTAAAGTCACATAGGTAAAAAAAATCAATAAAATAAAATAAATGAAAACAACTAAATTAAATCACGACGTTTCGGAGGCAACACAAGCTTCCGTCTTCAGGTGGAAACCGTCACAGCAAAATTGCTGTATCAAGTGAAGAGAGCTGTAAGAGACCCGAGATTATATACAGGTTAAGGGGGGGGGGGGGGGAGGAGCCAGGATGGGCCGTGGGGGGGGGGGCTAAGTTAAGCCGCCTTTTGTTATGCTGCAGGGGGTTAGGGGGATGGAGAGATCGCCGTGTGCAGGCGATGTCAAGTGGTTGAAGAAGGTTAGACACATGAACAGGAGGCAGTATTTAAGCTGACGAACTGGTTGCCTTGCAGTGTACTGCAGTAAACTATAAGGCTGCTAAAGTTTAATTTAGGTTTAACTTGGTTAAAAAGAGGCTAATCAAGCTGGGAATAGAAACCAACTGGAAGAAATGAAAATGGCTGTACAATTATAAGGCAGCTAAAGTTTGACTTGGTTGATGACATCTTTCCAATGATTGCTTAATTTAAAACCATCCTCTCGGTTGAAGTTGTGTCTATGTTTGTATATCTGGATGGCTTCATGGACAAATCTTTGGTAGTATCCGAGAGGTTTGCAGAGTACTTTGGTATTGGAGAAAACAATATCATGAGAACCCGTTGTGTTGAAACAATGATCAGCTACGGCCGAAGAATTTGTTCTGCCGTCTTTCAAATCTGATTTATGCTCGCGAATTCCGTCAGAAATATGTCGTTTCGTCTCTCCCGATATAGCAGTCACCACAGGTACAACTCAATTTGTAAACACCGGGGTACTGTAAGTCAGGAATGACATCCTTTACGGATGGGATCAGTTCACGGATTTTGTGTACTGTATTGAACCGGACCTGGATCTTGTGTTTGTTTAGAATTTTGGAAATATTTTTGGTAACGCCTGCTATTCTTTTCTAGATTTGAAGCTTTCATGACTGCAAGGATCCATACTCTTTGGTTCTATTCGGTAAGTCACGTAGGTAAAAAATAAAACAACAAAAATCACGACGTTTCGGCTACAACACAAGCGGCCTTCATCAGGTGAAGGGACCAGACTATCTCGAAGACTGCGCTGGAGTGAAACAGAGCCAAGCTCAGACCATGGCCTTTAAGCTGTGTGAGAGGGATTAAGGTGCCTTGACAAACCAATTAGCATAATAAATTAGCATTTAATTGGCGGACTTAGCATGATGAAAGGTGTAGAGAGGGTGAACATGCGGGTGCACATGCACCCGCATGTGCTGCGAAAGTTTGGGGTACCACTACTTGAATTTTTTTTAATTAATTGATGTGGTCTCTCTGTTCACCAATGTCCCAGTGCCTGACACCATAACAATAATTTAAGACTTTGTCCAACATGGACTGAACCCGAATGTACCTGTGGTGGTTAGGCACTTCCTCACCAACACTTACTTTACCTGGAATGGTACCTTCTACAAACAAATTGAGGGTACCCCTATGGGTTCCCCCTTGTCACCAGTGATAGCCAATGTTTTCATGGAGAAGTTTGAATCAGGCGCCATCCAGACATCCACCTTCATCCTTCCCTGTGGATGACACTTTCGTCATTTGGCCACATGGCCTCCCAGCATTGAACCATTTCCTAGACCACATCAAATCCAGAAACCCATCCACCAAATTCACCATGGAAGTGGAGAAAGATGGCAAGCTGCCATTCTTGGATGTTCTGTTTGAGAGGAGGTCTGATGGCTCTTTGGGAAATTCTGTTTACAGGAAGGCCACCCACACAGATTCCTACTTGAAGCCTGATTCCCACCACCACCCGGCTGAAAAGAATTCCCTCATCAAAATACTATACGATAGGGCTCATTGCATCTCTGACCAACACCACCTGGCCAGTGAATTAAAACATGTACATCTGGCCCTCAAGATGAATGAATACTCTGACCGTACTATCCGCCAGCTGTTTCTCCCACCATACAGAAACAACCACCTGTAACTCCGATCAAAATCATCACGTTGCCATACATAGCAGGCGTTACCAAAAAATATTTCCAAAATTCTAAACAAACACAAGATCCAGGTCCGGTTCAATACAGTACACAAAATCCGTGATCTGATCCCATCCGTAAAGGATGTCATTCCTGACTTACAGTACCCCGGTGTTTACAAATTGAGTTGTACCTGTGGTGACTGCTTTATCGGGGAGACGAAACGACATTTCTGACCGAATTCGCGAGCACAAATCAGATTTGAAACACGGAAGAACGAATAATTTTGCCGTAGCTGATCACTGTTACAACGCTGTGGGTGATCACAATATAATTTTCTCCGATACCAAAGTACTCTGCAAACCTCCCGGATACTACCAAAGATTTGTCCATGAAGCCATCCAGATATACAAACATAGACACAACTTCAACCGAGAGAATAGTTTTAAATTAAGCAATCATTGGAAAGATGTCATCAACCAAGTCAAACTTTAGCTGCCTTATAATTGTACAGCCATTTCCATTTCTTCCAGTTGGTTTCTATTCCCAGCTTGATTAGCCCCTTTTTTAACCAAGTTGAACCTATGTTAAACTTTAGCAGCCTCATAGTTTACTGCAGTATACTGCAAGGCAACCAGTTTGTCAGCTTAAATACTGCCTCCTGTTCATGTGTCTAACCTGCTTCAACCACTTGACATCGCCTGCACACGGCGATCTCTCCGTCCCCCTAACCCCCTGCAGCATAACAAAAGGCGGCTTAACTTAGCCCCCCCCCCCCCCCCCCCCCCCCTTAACCTGTATATAATCTCGGGTCTCTTAGAGCTCTCTTCACTTGATACAGAAATTTTGCTGTGACGGTTTCCACCTGAAGACGGAAGCTTGTGTGATTCAATTTAGTTGTTTTTATTATTTTATTTTATTGATTTTTTACCTACGTAACTTTACCAAAAAAAAACAAAGAGTAATGTCTGTAAACTTTGTGGACGGTGATTTTAACTTGTCATCCTTGAAGAGGGCCTGAGTGTTTGTTAACTGCAGAGCACAGCTCTTAGATAAACCTCTTTACCATTGCTCTTAATGTTCACATTACTATATATTACCCAGGATGCCATCGTCTTGCCATAGCATTAACGTGAGTGTAGCTGTAAATTCCTCTGGGTGTTAGGTGACCCGCAGATAACAGAAATAGACACTATATCATAGCAACTCGGTGTGCTATCTCCGATGAAAACGTGTGGCAACGAGGGCGTCAAACAACAGCCTTCTTTGTGGAAATTTACCAACACTGCTTGCATCTGGGAATATGGATATCTTGAGGACATCAAACACATAATAAACAGTATGTCCTTGGTGTATATGTGCAATGACATATTTTATAATTAATGTTATTTGGTAGAGATATCCTTTACACCACATCAGCCAATCAATCACAAGGTTTTCTGAATATTTTTACATTCATACATATATCTACAACATATTGTAACACTTTTGGCAAATACTCTGTATTTCACTGAAGAAAATCCCCACTAAGCTCTTCAGTTTATGATTCAAAGTTGTCGTGAACGTGGTTACAGTATTACAATTTAGGGAATTGCCATAATCTTTTTGTATTTGACCCGAAAAACGAGAGCACATTTTAAAAGTTATTGATTTGAAGCTTTCGTGACTGCAGGAATCCATACTCTTTGGTTTTCGGTAAAGTCACGTAGGTATAAAATAAAATAAATCACGACGTTTCGGGCGCAACACATACGTCCATCATCAGGTGCGCCCGAAACGTCGTGATTTATTTTAGTTTATACCTATGTGACTTTACCTAAAGAACCAAAGAGTATGAAAAGTAATTGTTTACTTTCGGCAAATAATGATGTTTTTCTAACCGTGTCTTCCTTCCTCTGCTTAAGTGACGGGACTGTTCAAGTCTGTTCAGAGTAATGTTGGAAGATGGGTCAGAAATGAAGTTTCTGGGTTGTAAATCGATAAGTGGTGGCCCTATATAGATCATCATGCTAGCATGATGATGACGATGTGACATAGAATTGCTGTTATCATCTTTGCCTTTGGTCAATCCATCACTGGATGGGGGCCTCCCCAAGATCCTGTAATATTACAAATAATTAAAAGAAGAAAAACTTATCATTGAATTATAACACATTTCAAAACTGTTCGCTTCTGCTATTTAAAAGAGAGAGATATTTTTTTAATATATATTCGTATCCACACTTTATATCTGTGAAAACGAATGTATTTTGGATAATATGTGAAGGTTATGAGACCTGGATAGATAAATACCATAAAAATAGGTGTGTTATGCACAAATGCCATATTAATTTAGATTCAAGCAGTGTATTTGTGGGGAGTGGTAGTGTTGTGGTTAGCGCGCTGCACTACGAAACCAGTGACCCGAGTTTGATTCCTGCTCCCTTAGGTTTACTCAGCCTCAAATTAGTACCTGGTGTGGTGTGTAAACAACACCACTGGTGAGACAAATTTGGTGGGGTGTGGTGCTAGCCAGCCACTCTCCCGTGGACTATGCTTACCTTCATACAGTGAGGGAAACAAGTATTTGATCCCCTGCTGATTTTGTACGTTTGCCCACTGACAAACAAATGATCAGTCTATAATTTGAATGGTAGGTTTATTTGAACAGTGAGAGACAGAATAACAACAACAAAAAATCCAGAAAAACGTATGTCAAAAATGTTATAAATTGATTTGCATTTTAATGCAGGTGTCTTTTATACAGGTAACGAGCTGAGATTAGTAGCACACTCTTAAAGGGAGTGCTCCTAATCTCAGCTTGTTACCTGTATAAAAGACACCTGTCCACAGAAGCAATCAATCAATTTAGATTCCAAACTCTCCACCATGGCCAAGACCAAAGAGGTCTCCAAGGATGTCAGGGACAAGATTGTTGACCTACACAAGGCTGGAATGGGCTGCAAGACCATTGCCAAGCAGCTTGGTGAGAAGGTGACAACAGTTGGTGATAATATTCGCAAATGGAAGAAACGCAAAAGAACTGTCAATCTCCCTCGGCCTGGGGCTCCATGCAAGATCTCACCTCGTGGAGTTGCAATGATCATGAGAACAGTGAGGAATCAGCCCAGAACTACACGGGATGATCTTGTCAATGATCTCAAGGCAGCTGGGACCATAGTCACCATGAAAACAATTGGTAACACACTACGCCGTGAAGGACTAAAATCCTGCAGCGCCTGCAAGGTCCCCCTGCTCAAGAAAGCACATATACATGCCCGTCTGAAGTTTGCCAATGAACATCTGAATGATTCAGAGGACAACTGGGTGAAAGTGTTGTGGTCAGATGAGACCAAAATGGAGCTCTTTGGCATCAACTCAACTCGCCGCGTTTGGAGGAGGAGGAATGCTGCCTATGACCCCAAGAACATCATCCCCACCGTCAAACATGGAGGTGGAAACATTATGCTTTGGGGTTGTTTTTCTGTTAAGGGGACAGGACAACTTCACCACATCAAAGGGATGATGGACGGGGCCATGTACCGTCAAATCTTGGGTGAAAACCTCCTTCCCTCCGCCAGGGCATTGAAAATGGGTCGTGGATGGGTATTCCAGCATCACAAATACCCAAAACACACGGCCAAGGCAACAAAGGAGTGGCTCAAAGAGAAGCACATTAAGGTCCTGGAGTGGCCTCGCCAGTCTCCAGACCTTAATCCCATAGAAAATCTGTGGAGGGAGCTGAAGGTTCGAGTTGCCAAACGTCAGCCTCGAAACCTTAATGACTTGGAGAAGATCTGCAAAGAGGAGTGGGACAAAATCCCTCCTGAGATTTGTGCAAACCTGGTGGCCAACTACAAGAAACGTCTGAGCTCTGTGATTGCCAACACGGGTTTTGCCACCAAGTACTAAGTCATGTTTTGCAGATGGGTCAAATACTTATTTCCCTCATTAAAATGCAAATCAATTTCTAACATTTTTGACATGCGTGTTTCTGGATTTTTTTGTTGTTATTCTGTCTCTCACTGTTCAAATAAACCGACCATTAAAATTATAGACTGATCATTTCTTTGTCAGTGGGCAAACGTACAAAATCAGCAGGGGATCAAATACTTTTTTCCCTCACTGTAGGTGCTTGCTGACAGCACCTGCCCCAAAACTCGGTTAAGGATATACAGGGGATATTTGTCTTGTCTTTGTTTCTGACTAGTTGAGCCCCAGCATGTAATTTTACCAACAGGTATGTCTTAACCCTGATCCATGATTATTGCCAACACATCTCCAAAGTAATGCATTTTGAAGAGGCATCCTCGCCTTTTCAATGGACTACTGTCAAATGTCAGACTTAGCCATATTTAGAGTTCCAGTACTTTTCTTAAAAGTGAAATGTTGCCTATTGGCTTTATGGTTTAAAGCCTCAATAAATTGATGTGTTGACAACTTACATGTGCTCTTTATAAAAGTGTCAGATAAAGGCTTGTCTTTGGCAATAAATGCCGATACACAGTCTTGCAATGCATCACACAGCTTAAAGCCTTCATTTTATAGGATTCATGACAGTATATAGTATAGGAGTTTGCAGCTTACCTTGGCTTTTCTTTGTGGATTATGTTTGAATCTTGACGATGAGCACATGATTAATCAACAATATGCTGTATATGTGTGCATGCATGTGTCCCGCAGAACTGAAACAGCTTATTGTTTTTTTTATTTGCAAACTGTTCCCAATAACCTTGATTCTTAAATTTCATAACGTTCTGGTATTATATTTCCATTGTAAGTGAGGTAGGTGATGGATTTATATTATTTTTCATTGGAATGTTTTAATTGTAATGTTTGCAAAACACAGTCCTAAGCCATAATGCTCAGGCTTTCGTTATGGGAATGGCCTTCTGTGTCTTACCCATGCTTTTAGATGCATCTCCAGGCACCACAGTCCCATTCCGATCATCTGAGCATTCCAGGCAGGGCTCGTTAAGAAGGCATGTCACTGATGCAGGCTTAGGTAATTATTGGTTTAGTTTGGACTAATTAAACCGTTTCCACGTTGCAGAGGCTCCACTGAAAGCTATTCTGTGCAAATGAAAATCCACTGTTGCACTGGTGATGTTAATGAGATGAGAATCACTCTTTGGTTCTTTCGGTAAAGTCACGTAGAAAGAAAATAAATTAAATAATAAAATACGACGTTTCGATTGCAACACAAGCAGTCGTCATCAGGTAGAACTAAATTTGAGAGAGAGACAAAACACAGACACGGAGACACACAGACAGACACACAAGCAGAGAGAAACAACACAGACACAGAGAGAGACACACAACATAAACTCACAGAGACAACACAGAGAGACACACAACATAGACACACACGAGATGAGAATCAACAAGGCTTTATTGTGTCGAATCATTGGTTCATTATCAGGTCACAGCTTAAGCATCACAGGTGTGATCATTTCATACCTATACAAGCTTTAAATATATGTAATGATAAGTGCTAGTTTAATAATATCACCACAAACATAAAGTCAGAACTTTTTTCTCTGCTCTAAGTGCACAGTTCTGTTGCCTTTATTGCTCATTCTCAGACATTTATTAGGGCCAGAAACTCTCTTGATAACAGGTATTGTGTGCTTTTGTTAAACTGTGGTGCAGTACAGATCTTAAGTAGGATTTAAACATATATATTGTACATTTATCGACATGATTGGTACGTTATGTTTGTATTAGCTTGATAGAGCACAATTCTGAACAACTTCTAAGATCCTTGTACACCAGGAGCCTCTATCATCTTTGTTAATCAAACTATGTCCATCCATTCATGTTCCTTATTATTGAATGAGCAAAAAGACAATACATGTCTAGTTAATCGACAATAAGACAGTCAAGTGTATAATTAGTCAGATGAAAAAAACATTCCTGATATGCAAACGTATTTCCTCCTATAACGTGTTATATTATATATTTTTTCACTTTAAGGTTTTATTTGTAGTTGCATTTGCAATGTGCAAATAGCCTAGAACAACATCTGCAGGACTAGTTCTGTATTCGACGTAAAAAAAATTATATTACATAAAATAAAAATCCAAATGTAATTTGATGGGATAATTCAAAAATATATCCTCCTAGTTATACACTGCAAAGAACACTTTAACTTGAGTGAGTGGTACAGCAAAACTCCATGGGGGGGCTAAGAGAAAAAAAAACAATGTATTTGATTATTATTCTGTAATTACACCCCACTCATTAAAATTTTACTTTTTTACAGTATTGTTGTTTCTCATGGCCCTGTACTGAAGCGAAGCACAAGACAGGTCTTAGCCAAGTGTTGCAGTGTGAAGTGTGCTCCAGTGCACGTGTGAGCTCCCTCTCCCACTGCGTTAATTTCCACGCCTGTGCTCTCCACAGGTAAATTACACAGCTTTCAAAGGGTCGTGTCATGTTTTGGTCGGTAGGGATCCTTATTTTGTCTCTACATAAATGCAAGAAGTGCACAGAGTCACTTTTGCTTGAGTGTCTATAGGTATGCAACAAAATAATATTGATGAGTGTTGGTGCGAGGTTAAATGTGCCTATTAATGTGGATCCCAGCCAGAAAGAAAACTATGCCCTCATGTGATGGATATTGAACTTACAAAGACATGTATCACAATCCAAATAAGAATTTTGTCTGCTCTGTTTTAATATAGCTGTTACACAAATACACACAGCATGTAAAGCTGTGTTTTTTCTATTTCAGGAAAGAAGACTCGGGGCTTTTGGGATATAAATCCAATTTACCCATTTTGCAACTGATCATCAGTGACACGAACAGGAGCGACTCAGAAGCCGCCTATCGAGTGGGACCATTGCGCTGTCACGGGGACAGTAAGCCATTGCCACTCATGAAAACCCTCTTATGCATCGACAACACGTTGCATGCACAAAGACAAAGATCCCTCGTATAGCCTTTAACATACTGTTGGGGCAAGTGCTGTTAGCGAGCACCTATGAAGGCCGGCATGGCACATGAGAGGGTGGGTGGCCAGCACGACTCCCAGCCGCCTTTGCCTCCACAATGCTGTTGTTTTCACACCACATAGGTACTGAGTCGACCTAGGAGATGCCCAGGACCGGTTCAGATATTCGCCACTGTTTTTGGTCGCGAGCGAGAATCGAACTCGTTTCAATCAATTCGATGAGCAGTGCGCTAACCACTGCTCCACCGCTCCCCATGCGAACGCACACGGTGTGGGAATCAGAATCAGAAAGGGGTTTTATTCGCCATGAAAGTTCGCACAGACAAGGAATTTACTTTGGCAGGAAGGTGCATACATTCAACATATAGTAAACTTAAATCTAAAATAAGTGGTATACAAGTCTAAACTATACTAAAGGTACAAAGTCTAACTAACACTAAGGGGCTAAAGTATGTAAAATTTTGAATAAATATTGAATATAAAGTAGCTATGAGATACAATCTAAAAATAGAAAAAATACAAATAGGGTAACATAGTGTAAATATGGCAAGGTGTCATTTTGTAGATAAAATGTTAAAGTAAGTGTAAGCCCTTGGCCTTGTTGAAGAGGCTAGCAGCGGATGGGAAGAAACTGTTTTTGTGGCATGAGGTTTTGGTTCTGATGGACCGCAGCCTTCTGCCGGAGGGGAGTAGCTGGAAAAGAGAGTGTCCAGGGTGGGAGGAATCGGCCACAATCTTCCTCGTTCGCCTCATGGTCCACGAGGTGTGCAGGTCCTCGAGGGTTTGTAGATTGCAGGCAATCACCTTCTCAGCAGTGTGGATGATCGCTGCAGTCTGCTTTTGTCCTTGGCATTGGCAGCAGCGTATCAGACGGTTATGGAGGAGGTGAGGATGGATTCAATGATTGCTGTATAGAAGTGCACCATCATTGTCTTTGGCAGGTTGAATTTCTTCAGCTGCCATAGGAAGTACAACCTCTGTTGAGCTCTCTTGATGAGGGAGTTGATGTTCAGTTCCCACTTGAGGTCCCGGGAGAGAATAGTGCCCAGGAAGCGGAAAGACTCTACAGTTTTGACTGGGGAGTCGCACAGGGTGATGGGGGTGAGTGGGACTGTATTCTTCCTGAAGTCCACAACCATCTCAACTGTCTTTAGAGCATTTAGCTCTAAGTTGTTCTGGCTACACCAGGTCACCAGGTTGTCAGCTTCCCACCAGAGATCAGCCCAATGAGGGTGGTGTCATCCTCAAACTTCAAGAGTTTGACGGACAGATGATTGGAGGTGCAGCTGTTGGTATACAGGGAGAAGAGCAGTGGGGAAAGGACGCAGCCCTGAGGAGTTTCGGTGCTGATGGACCTGGAGTCAGAGACTTGTGTTCCCAGCTTAACGCACTGCTTCCTGTTAGACAGGAAGTATGTGATCCACCTGCAGGTGGAGTCGGGCACGTTCAGCTGGAAGAGCTTGTCCTGACGCAGGGCAAGGATGATGGTGTTGAAGGCAGAGCTGAAGTCCACAAACAGGATCCTGGCGTAGGATGCTGGGGAGTCCAGATGCTGTAGGGTGAAGTGGAGGGCTCATTTTAACTGGAAGTGGGGGGGGGGGGGGATGCAGAAAAAGTTGAGCTCTTTTAGCTGCACGTTAAAATACCAAATGCATTGATGCAAAACTTTCGCATCCTGAACAACGTCTCTATTTCAGAACATAGCAATATTGATGTGATTCTGTTCAATGCCGCCAAAGTAATTCAAATGCATCTTACATTACAATGCCCGAGTCAAGTCATAAGGCAGGGACGTTCCTAACGCTTCTGTCTGATGCTTAGTGGAGCCTTTGGTGTAGAGCCAAAGGAATAGTCACCTACGCTTTATAGTTCATCTATATATATAAACGGGAAATTTGTGAATATGTGTCTGTTCTATCTGAAGACCCAATCAAAACCATCATCTTGCCATACATAGCAGGGGTTACCAAAAAGATTTCCACAATCATGAATAAACATAAGATCCAGGTTCGATTCAACACAGTACATAAAATTCGTGATCTGATCCCATCTGTGAAGGATGTGATCCCGGTGTCTACAAACTAAGCTGTGTCTGCGGCAGTAGTTACATTGGGTAAACTAAACGACATGTCTCGGACCGTGTTCGTGAACACAAGGCAGATCTGAAACACGGAAGGACCAATACCTCGGCCATGGATGATCATTGTTTTAACACTGTGGGCTCACATACTATTGATTTTTCCAAGACGAAGGTACTATGCAAACCCACTGGCTATCATCAAAGATTTGTCCATGAAGCCATCCAGATATACAAACACAGACACAACTTCAACCGAGAAGATGGGTACAAATTTAGCAATAATTAGAAGGACGTGATTAACCAGGTAAAGTCTTAACTTGCTGGGATGTTTCCATCCTTCCTGCTGATGTTAGCTGACTCTCTGAGTTGCATCACTCGGTTGGATGTCTTTGTATTGACAGGCTGAACTGTCCTACTCGATCTGCCACCGAAGCATCATTGACATGCTCATTTCTCACAATACAATAGCCACTTCCACAGCCTCAGGGAGACCATCTCTAGCCCTGTCCTCTTACCCTGAGGGGACTCCCATCTCAGGCATATATAAGACCTTGTTTCAGTAGCTTTCTCTCTCTCACCTGAAGACGATTGCCTGTGTTGCAATGGAAACGTCGTGAGCTATTCTTTTTCTATCTACGTGACTTTACCGAAAGACCCAAAGAATATCTGCTAAAGTGTTTGGTGGCTGTTATGTGCCAGCCATCGATACACAACCACCATTGTATTCATTTATTATCCTTGCAAATTCTGTGGTGTGATAACATTTTTCAAAACTTACTGTGGGGAATTTTATTGGGAAAATGCAGGGTTAGGTCACCTTTACAAAATGCATCTGGAATGAGCTGTGTTGTTTGGGGTTTTGAAACCTCAGTTATTCCCACCCGGTTGTGTGAGCTGCTCTGTTGTGTGGTTCTGTCGCAGGGCACTTCTGGAACGCGGCATCCTTCAGCACCCACAGATCCTATTTGCACTTCCCGCCGGTCCATGCCGAGACGAGCCTCGACATCACGTTCCTTTTCAAAACGTCGGCTGAATCCGGAGTCTTTCTGGAGAACATGGGGACTCATGATTTTATACGAGTGCAGCTCAAGTGTAAGCTGATATGTTAACTACCTCACATGGTCGTGGGTTCGATCGCGACCTTGATACCTGTATTTATGGAGTTTGCATTTTCTCTCCGTGGTCGTGTGGATTTTTCTCACGGTCCTTTGGTTTTTCCCTCCATATTTAGAAACACAGATTTTGAGTCTTTGGCTGCTATACATTTCTACATAATAAGCCACTTCGTTGAGCTATCATTTGTGGCCACGTCACTTCTAAAAAAGAGCTATAGAGCTCAGTGGGCCTTACCTGGTAAAATACAAAATAATTTCCTTGTTTTGTTTAGTTTAATAAATAACAGTTATAATGTGCTTTTCACAAAATCTTACATATCCAATCAATGTTTGATGTGTGAGAAACGGCCATGGTGTATTTTTCTGTTTTCTGTGTGAAAGCTGTACATTTTATATTGCACAACAATCTATATTGTTATGCAAAAGAAATTGTGAAAGGCAATCGTTTACATTTCAATCCAAGCTCACTTCACTCCAGAAAATGTTATCTCTTTATCTGTGGCAAATTTTATCGTGCTGTTTGTTGCGGATGATTGACATTTTGGGCCTGTTATCAGCAAATGTGTTTTACATTTTTTTTTTAAAAGTAGTATTTACAGTGCAGGGACAGTTGAAACTGTGTGCAAATGACTTCATCTATTTTCTATCTGCTCAGCACAAAAAGGAGTAAAAATAATATATTTTTTTATTTTACTTCCTTCACTTTCGGCCAATGACAAATAACAAAATTGCCCAACACTTCGTGTCTAGCGTTCATTACAAAAAGTCTCCAAGATTATGAACCGCCAGAACACAATTAAGGTTTTCAACAGTAATATTTTTTCAGCTTACAATACCATCCACTGTGTACTCACGCATTGCATGCTTGCGGAATTCCAGCTGTTGTCTCTCCACTGATGGGGCAGCCCCCACTGGTGGTGTGTGTATGTGTGTGTAATGCGTGATTGCTTTGGCGTTTTGCTGCTTTAGCGCCGTACGAGGTGAGCTTCGGCTTTGACGTTGGGAACGGGCCGGTGGAGATGGTCGTGCGGTCAGGGCAGCCACTCAACGACGAGGAGTGGCACGCAGTGAGCGTCGAGCGCAGCCTCAAGGAGGCGAGCGTGCGCGTCGATCGCCTGCCTCGGGAGGTGGCGTGGGTGCCTAGCCGTGGCCATGCTCATCTGCAGCTGAACAGCCAGCTTTACATCGGTACTTCGTGCACAGCTTTATATTACAATACTTGTTTTTACCCGGGAAAGCCTCGCCGAATCTCACGGCTCCTTTTCAGGAGGGTCCTGCCAAGTCTTCACAGTAGGGGGCAATTATTTAGAATCGGACTCTTTATTTCTTTGCCTTTTATATTCAAATTGAGTAATTTGCAGATAATTTAGAAACTTTGCATATTTTAACCATGACTTGTGCTTTGTGACCGTGTGTGCATTGTATACCTGCGTGGAAGCATGTATGTATGTATGCGTGTGTGCATTGTATATGGCTCATATTTGATTGCTGGTCATATACAGTACCAGTGGCAATTGCAGGTTGAACTTGGCTGGAATCTTTCCGAGTAAAATTCTACCTTGAATTAATACATGTTGTAGTGTACTGTGGTCACCATCAGCATTTTCGAGATAAATGCAGCCAGGCGTTTTGATTATTAAACAACTGACTTGCGCGCCTTGCTCATGGACAATACCTGATGTGACATCATGGACTGATGAGCTGACATGGTGCCTGGAAAAGACTGCGAAGGACAGGCAAAAGCGGAAAGAGTTGATTTTGATGATGGTAATGAATATTACCTTCTCCAGCAGCCTACGAAGATAAAACTAAGAACACACAAGAACGTCAATGGATACCCAAAAGGAAGCCAATGTAGAGTTACCCATATGTTCTTGACTGGTACAGTAATTAAATATGATATGTATGAAATCTCTAATCATATCCTTTGCCTATGATTCAAACTGCTGTCTTCAGCAGTGCATCTGATGACCGTGTCGCATTCTGTCTTGCATAGGCTCCTCCGTGTCCGGCGACAGCGGCTTCCTCGGCTGCGTCCGTTCGCTGCGAGTGAACAGCGTTATGCTGGACCTGGAGGAACAGGCGCGGGTCACACCGGGGGTCAACCCCGGCTGCTCGGGCCACTGCCGCAGCTATGGGGCACTGTGCCGCAATGGAGGCCGCTGCGTGGAGCACTCGGTGGGCTACTCGTGCGACTGTTCCTCATCTCCTTACGACGGGCCGTTTTGCACCACCGGTAAACGAACGAGGCGGACAGTGTCAACTGAATCGTATGAAGCATACTTGTCATCATCATCAGCCGTGATCAATCCACTGCCGGATGACAGCCTCCCCCAAGCCTTCACTATCTCTCACAATCGTGCGATACAACAAGCAACAACATAGGCACAAGCAAATCAAGCAAAGAATAGGGCCTCAAGAAGCTCAAGGAGACCTGGACTCATAGAAATATATGTCTGAAACAAATATCACCTCAAATTAAAATCCTCATACACATGTGGTCACCCATATAAGCAATATTCAGACTCCATTCTGGTTAGCTTTTGAGATCCGATGAGATGGGTGATTGCAGATGTCATAGGCTGTGGAGCTATGTGATGGGCAGCAGAGGGTAGTGCAGGAAATACATTGTTGTACTGGATGTCAATGCTCCCACATATATGATCCCCACCTTCATCAACCCACTCTAAGCAATGTAATCAATTCGGATAAAATAACTCGCATTACATTGGGAGGCCCTCATCTAGCAGTGGATTCACAAAGAACTATAGATGTAAACGAGCACATTGTTGTAAGTATACTTCATGACTGCAAATATAAGTACACTTTATGCTGACATAACTGTTCAGTATGCATGGTGCATCCTCAATACAATGTATGGAGAAACATTTTGATCCGAATTGTTATAACCTTAATATTGTACTTCTCAGAGGTTGGTGGATTTTTCGAAAGAGGAACCTGGGTGAGGTATGAGTTCCAGGATCCTCACAAGCTCTTGGCGTCCACCAGAAGTGACAAAGATACCTTGCCATTCGAGAGAGCCTCTGACATGCCAATCAGGGAACCCAGCGGCGATCTCATATCTCCGAGAGCGCCCGTAAGCCTCGGGGAGCCTGCCGGTGACAGTGAGTCTGGGGAGATGGCGCTGCTTGGCTTCAGCACCAGAACGGCACCGGCAATGCTGCTGCACGTGAGCTCAAAATCAGGGAGCTGCCTAACGGTCACACTGCAAAGCAACGGTGAGTACGGCCACCGGGCCTGGGCATCGCATCGATCTGTTATAATTGCAGCTGTTTGTGTAATTTGTTGTGGCTGTGATAATTCACTATGTAACACAATTTTTGTTCCTGGGTAGTAAGTGTTATTTCGTAATTGCTTATGCCTAAAAAGTATAGAAAATAACTATTATTCCCAACAAACTTTGCTTTTGTGACCAGGAGAGTGATATTTTGAAATGTTCCTATTTGAAATGAGAAAACGGGCGAATTTTTATCTTTTCGTTCACATAAAGTCAGAAAAAAAACGTATGAATCAAAATTAACATGTATTTATACTAGTAATACAAAAAAATACTACAAAAGATTTAGAAGTGAGTAGTTTTTCGAGATTTACGATTATACTGTAAATCACTTTCACGAATCAGCCCCCAAATGTAGTCTCCCATCATGTTCTCGTTATACTGTCTTTGGTAGCGGTGTTCAAAGTCCAGTATATCCTGGTGGAAGTGCTCGCCTTGCTCCTCCGAGTACGCTCCCATGTTCTCCTTGAATTTATCAAGATGAGCATCAAGGATATGGACTTTGAGGGACATCCTACAGCCCATTGTGCCGTAGTTCTTCACCAGAGTCTCCACCAGCTCTACATAGTTTTCAACCTTGTGATTGCCCAGGAAGCCACGAACCACTGCGACAATGCTGTCCCAAGCCGCTTTCTCCTTACTAGTGAGCTTCTTGGGGAATTCATTGCACTCCAGGATCTTATTTATCTGTGGTCCGACAAAGACACCGGCTTTGACCTTTGCCTCAGACAGCTTAGGGAAGAAGTCTTGAAGGTACTTGAAGGCTACCGACTCCTTATCTACAGCTCTGACAAATCGTTTCATAAGGCCCAATTTGATGTGCAATGGTGGCATCAGCACCTTCTGGGGGTCCACCAATGGCTCCCACTTGACGTTGTTGCTCCCCACAGAGAACTCGATCCGCTATGGCCAGTCCCACCTGTGGTAGTGCGCCAATGGTGTCCCTGCTATCCCAAAGGCAAAGATAGCAGGGAAACCTGGTAAAACTGCCTTGGAGACCCATCAGGAATGCCACCATTTTGAAGTCTCCGACGACCTCCCAGCCATACTCATCATACTTCAAGGCATCCAGCAAGGTCTTGATGCTGTTGTAATCCTCTTTGAGGTGCACCTAGTGAGCCAGGGGAAGAGACTGGTACTTTTTGATTTAAAGCTTTCGTGACTGCAGTAATTCATATTCTTAGTTTTTTTCGGTAAAGTCACGTTGAAGAGAAACAACAAAATAACAATATATATATTATTCTTAGTTTTTTCGGTAAAGTCACGTTGAAGAGAAACAACAAAATAACAAAATATATATAAAACAATAAAAATTCTCACGACGTTTCGACCATAACTCAAACGGTCATCACCTGATGATGACCGTTTGAGTTATGGTCGAAACGTCGTGAGAATTTTTATTGTTTTATATATATTTTGTTATTTTGTTGTTTCTCTTCAACGTGACTTTACCGAAAAAACTAAGAATATGAATTACTGCAGTCACGAAAGCTTTAAATCAAAATTTAATATATATTGTTTTATATATATTTTGTTTTTTTGTTGTATATAAAACAATATATATTTTGTTATTTTGTTGTTTCTCTTCAACGTGACTTTACCGAAAAAACTAAGAATATAGACTGGTACTTGTTACCATTATGGAGCAGCACGGCTTTGAGGCTCCTCGATGAGCTGTCAATGAAGAGGCACCACTCATTCTGGTTACAGGCAATTCAGATTGCCTCAGACTGGTCACATTTTGGCAGAAGCAGAGCCCATCTTGACGGGTGAAGAAGCTGCAAAAAGGTTGGTGATGCTTCCTCTGATCTGCGACTTGCATACTTTCATCCAACAACTTCCGCTGCTTGAGCCTAGACATCAAAAGCTCGACATTGGACTTGGTGAGACCAGTATCTCTGATCAAGTCGTTGAGATCTTTTTGGTTGTAGTATGGGTTTCTCTCCTCAGCTCCACCTGTGAAATTGTCATCTGGATCTACAACGTATTCCTCGCTCTCTGACTTGCCGCTGTCTACTAAAGACAGCTTCTCTCTCCCCAGAGGAGTGGGTACGGGAAGCTCATGGCAGTGTGGCACCGGGTCGATGGATGAAACAAGGTCAGGATACGTGATAGCAGGTGCATTCTTGCCAGTCCACCGATTGGAAGGGTCCACCATGCAGAAGTAGCAGTTGCTTGAGTGGTCAGTGGGTTCCCGCCAAATTATTGGGATAGCGAACTTCGTGGCTCTCTTTTCCCCTCTGTACCATCCTACAAAAATGCATTTATTTCACCCATGACTAATGTGTAAGAGATTCTCGCAACATTTTTCATACATGATATCTTTTTTCAATAACTTTGATAATTGTAAAACATTTTAAAACGATAAAATTTTACAATTTTTTTTATTTTAACAAATTTTATAACATTGAATTCCGAGCAACAATTGTCCATCTTACCTTCCAGAGTTTTTTTGCATTGCTCCCAGGTGAAATGAGGTGCCCAGGGTTCGTCTTGATCCCTGACAGGCATGCCAAAATATGCCTTGTAGGCCTCACACATCTTAGCAGATGCTTCCACAGAGTACTTTTTCGCTCTTGTCTTGATAAATTGGCCGCAGACATAGCAAAATGCGTCTGCTGGATGCTTGCAGCCTCTTGATGCCATCTCAGAAAAATGCAGATATGTATCCACTTAGGCAGCTGGAACTAAACTGAACTGGTGGGCTTAAGGCCCCTGTATTTATACTACTATTTATATTACTGGAAAGTTCTAGAATGTTCTAGAAGTTACTCCAAGTTTACTAAGCACTGAATCTATCTGGAATGTTCTGAAAATAGGTACATTTCTAAATATCACTGTCCTGGTCACAAAAGCAAAGTTTGTTGTGAATAATAGTAATTTTCTCTACTTTTGAGGCATAATCAATTAGGAAATAACACTTACTACCCAGCAAAAATAAATAAATACATGTTACACAGTGTAATTATTTACAATTAATGTAAAATAGCAATTTTCAAGAGTTGATACTGTGATGGCCTGTAATTACATGCTTAGAGTGAACATTTTAATATTTTTTGAGTGGCTTGAATGGAAATGTTCCCAATGAGCCTTTCACCATCTGACAATATAGTAATGCAAATGTTTACAATTATATGAGATTTTCCATTTTTTTCTGATCCACCCTTGACAATGGGGTTATAGATGTTAAATCCACCATGAGAGACTATGATGGACGTGTCTTTTTAAATGTCCTGGAGAGGAAAACCTCCAGTCCAATTATGCTTATTTAATAAAGTAGAAATATTTAACATGCAAACATATTTTGTAAGTCTGGACTTATAGCTTTCGTGACTGCAGGAATTCATATGCTTGGGTCTTTCGGTAAAGTCACATAGATAGGTTCAAAGTAAACAACAAAAAACCTATGTACATGATTTTACCGAAAGACCCAGGAATATATATTTTTTAAGCTTTAACCAATTCAATTATTGTTAGTTAATTTGAATGATTCCTTAATTGAGAAATTAACTTAAAAGCCCAGTAAATGTTGAAGAGGCTGTCTTCAGTCAGCAGAAGAATATAAAATTTTAAACACTAATCTGAATGGCCTATTTTGCCATTGGGGAAAAAAAATCATAATCTGCCATAGAGCTCGCCATTTCATGGGGGAGTGAATCCACTAATGTGTGTGCTGCAGGCAGCTTGCAGATCAGATATTCACGCAAAGGGGGACAGAGAATCAAAGTCATTCATCCTGATCCACGCAGCATGGCAGATGGGCAGCCACACAGCCTGAACATCACGCGTCAGGACAGCTTCGTCTACATACAGGTGAACACTTGCACATGTTCACACCTGTCGCAGCATCTACATAATGACAGTTCACTGGACAGTATGATAATTAACTATTTAAAATAATTCAACTCTTCATTGGCATATATGCACACCGTGACATGTTGAAAGTGCAACAACACTTTTATCCTTTCTTGTCAACTTGTTATCAGTGTTCTTATTCTATGGTTCTTTCGGTAAAGTCACGTAGATAGAAAACTAAATAAATAAATAAAGTGAATACAAATAAAAAATATCACGACGTTTCGATCGCAACACAAGCAGTTACTTGTGTTGCGATCGAAACATCGTGATATTTTATTATTTGTATTAACTTGATTTTTATTATTTAATTGTTATATCTTTTTTCTATCTACGTGACTTTACCGAAAGAACCATAGAATATGAATTCCTGCAGTTACGAAAGTTTTAAGTCAAAATTTGTTATCATTGTATTCGGTTTGAAGTTTTAACGTCTTTTTCAATGGTTTTACTTAACTTGATTTCTGTGTCGTGGACAAATCTTGTAATCAAAATTTTGTCTACTTCCTGTTGTCCAATCAATTCCAAATTTTGCACACGTACTCAGATCCGGTGACAATGCATGCCTGTATCAAAATCAATTAATCAATTAATTCGCTACTTTAAAGCAATTTACATTTTGTATCGACGCCTTATTATTTATATATTTGTGTAGGTAAAAAACGCTGCGGTCCCTAAACTCTCGAATCGCCTCGCCCCAAGAAGCAGGCGCCACGTGTCTCGAGCGCGCCTGCTCCATGTGAACGTGTTACGGGCACCCTCACTCCACACAAACAAAAGTTGTACATTGAAGATTAATTTATAAAGTAATAAATTAATTCAAGTAAGCGTTGATGTGGGAGCAGGCGCCGCATCATTGACGTACTTCTCGACCGTGAGATAAACGAAGTTGTTAATAAAACCGTTGTTTAAAAAGCTAAACTTGTTTTAAGGTGTGTACTTGTCATTATCTCACTGTGTGGCAGTTGGATCATTACCCACAAGTCAAGCGCCATCTATGGGCTGGCCAGAATCACTTCAACCCTTCTACACTTTTCCTCGGCAAGGTACCAGGTAATGCCACATTTACGTCACTTACATTGTAGCTTGATTATTGCAGCTTACAGGTTTTTGTTTGACAGGAATAGCATTTTCTTTCGTATTTTATTAAAAGGATACATAATTTATAATAAGTCATACATATGCAAAACTTCAGTTTCTTCTAGATTTGAAGTTTCTTTCGGTAAAGTCACGTAGGTAAAAATTCAAAAGAATCAAATCGCGACGTTTCGGAGGCAACACAAGCTTCCGACTTGCAATGTTTCAATCGTGCAAAGTTGCCTCCCATCCCACTCTCTCCCCCCCCATCCGTGGTGTAGGAACAGCATCCGGAGCTTTACCATCCGCGTCTCCCAACAACCCCCACCCCCACCCTGCATCCGTTCTCCCTGGCTCCTCCCTCCTCTTACCCTATACAAACAGGTCCCTGCAGGGTGGGCTGGTAGGACAAGTCTCTGCGCTGGCTATTGCTGATTTTACACCCAACAGCACGAGATTTCACTTCGTTAGAGTATTGAAAGGGGACGGACGGACACATTAATCTATTGCAGGCTGGTACACTCAGTTTACAACTTCGTTCCTACCAGTATAATTTCTTATTACAAAATAGCTCTCTTTACAGTAATTTTGCTGTGCTAGTTACACCTGTAGACAGAAGCTTGTGTTGCCTCCTAAACGTCGTGATTTGATTATTTTTTGTTATATTTACCTACGTGACTTTACCGAAAGAACCAAAGAGTATACTTCAGTTTGTCTCCACATACAGTAAAACCATATTTTCCTGAGCGAGCAACACTATCTATTTAAGCAAAAAAAGTTTGTGTACTATATGTAGTATGATCACATATGTACACAACTTGAAACTGTACAAAACTCTAAACTGTACAAAACTCCAGCACTTGTTATGATGAACTTCACTATTTTTAAGCAATGCAATGACAAGATGTAGGCATTGGTATGGGTGCAGGTGAAAAACATAATACTCCCTTTTCCAGCCTGCAATTACAGAAACACAATACCATAGTGCGCACTATACAAAGAGCATTCTGGCACGTAGCCAGCAGTGGCAAAATTAAATATGCCTGCTCAGGGCACACTAACCCATTAGCCAGCATCGATCCAGGTCCAGTGAGCAAAGTCCCGGAAAAAAACAAATTTACACAGGCATGGAGAGACAGCATCGATTACAGAGCTTCTTTGTAATGGTGACATGCTGGTTGACTTATAGTCCTAATCCTAACTACCAGCTATGGATGTTAAGGTCATAGGTTGCATTGCATTTGAAACCACATTCTGTGCGTGAGACACTGGGGGAATTTGCATTCAGTTTAGGTGCTCGATATATGGTAGGTAGTGAAAGTACTCGGTGCTATCGTGGGAAATAGACTTGTGAGTAGTGCATTTGCCTCTGCTACATTTTAAGGGCTGTTGGATTAAAGTGTTTAAAACCCTGTCTTCAACCCACAAACAGAAGTGTCCTTTGAGACAACTTTATAACTGATGTCTGATTTTTTTTATGTTTAAGATCCTATGAACCTCCTGAACATGGGAAGTAATTAAGTGAGCACATCCTTAACGTGATCAACTACGCTACCAACAACCAGGTGTAGGCACGTAGCCAATGAGGCATTTGTAAGCTAATGAGTGAGTACAGCAAATGTCCGTGTCCAAATGTTGTGGTAGAGCTTCCTCCCCTACCCTCCAATGTTGCTACACCTATGTCAACACAGACAACGACTCCCAACGTGACTTTTTTAAAATATAAAAATGCCACATAGCACAACTTTGTAGTGATGCTGCAATAAAAAAAAACGTAGAATGAGCCAGTGATGCCAAGTCCCATTGTGTGTGGAAGAAATCGAAGTGGCAGTTTTTTTAATTGCACAATAAGGGATAGCTAAATGTGTTAAATGATTTGGGTGCTCTCCAATACTAGAGACCTAATATGTAATTAATGATTGTTTTGTAAACCATAATGTGAGTGTTATATCGTAAAAAAAATTGGTTATTGATTTTAATAGTGTCAATATGTCAAGATTTCCAGCAATTAAATTACCCTGGCGTTTGTTTTACATTCACCCTTTTGATATATTTAGATTTTATCCTTAACATCGTTGCTCAGTTATACGATACAAAGTTGTTGAAAGAACTGACACCCAGTGAATTAATGTGGTTGTTCTCTCTGTGCATTTGAAAATGGTTGTCTTTAACGGATTGTAATTTAAATTGCCTGCATATCAGACTCCAGCATGGAGGTCCTCCCAATCGCATAATAATGGTGTGTCCTAGGTATGCTACTCGAGGTTTAAGGCATTGACATTTAACTTATTTGCAACATTTTATAGAAACCTTTATTTCCATCCTAAATGGAAATTCCCTGGATTGGTCTTTGGCAGAATTGCCAGTGATTAACCCAATTCGAGTATTATGGTTTACATGCTACATTAGTGTGTTTAAACTTTAAACACGACATCTGATAGGGTGTGTAACTCTTTGGGACTAATAAAGCACAAGTAGCTTTACATTTACGTGTAAATTGTGAACTTGTGACCTACATTCCATCCATGGCACCTGTGTCGATTCATTCAAGGCGCTACAGATAGCAGATGGAAGCAGCTGTTTGTTTTCTTCACCCATGAAGCTTTCATTTTGCTGTCATGGATCGTATGTCACACAATCGACTGGACAGTATCATAGGGTAGAAGAACTGTACCTCACACAATACTCAACCAAACTCTTCATGGGAAAACATTACGTTAAGATTTTACACTTTTTTATTTTTTCTGCAGTTCATTACGCAGCATTTGGATACACCACACCGTGCTGCAGATGGAAGAACACAAACAAATTATTTCGTTAAAAAAAACCTTGTAGGCTGTTTCCTTTTTTGGTTCGCTGACAAGAATGAATTTGTCAGTCTCATCTTTCCACTGGTTAATTTTATCATGACCTGCCTGTCTCAAGGACGTTGTGCAAGACTTTACTGGGCCTGTTGTGGCCATGCAGCTTTTTTCTTGTTGAATATCTTTGTCTATAATTAATGTACATCCTGTCTATGTGTTTAGCTATGTAATTTACAAAATGATGCATGTGCTGCATGCCAATTTCTCTGCTGATTTAGCAGTTTTAATTTGGTGCTCAAAGATGCGTGCTCAATTCACATATATATCTATTCTTAGGTTTAATTTTACTTAGAACAATTGTTTATGAAGTAGAAAAATACTTTTCTAAGATATCGCATTTGTCATACTATACTCTATTGCACATGTCTGCAGTACATGTATTTTGAAAGTCATTCCAGGACAATATCTAATCTTGTTACTGTGCTGTTTGGGTTGTGGTTGGAACAAATCGAGTGCATCCTGCACTGCTGCCGATCGATGATGATCCATTACATCCAGATCTTCCATTAGGCAAATTGGCCCTAAGCCTGATATACCTACATTTAGATGTAAAGTCTCATCACGATTTCCAGTCATGTTGACATAGATTATTTTAGTCTAAAATACTGTATACTTGTATACTTAATCACCTCGTCTAAGACAGGAATAGCTCATTTTGGTCCCTCGACTTATAGTAAATCGAGATAATGATGTGCTAAATTAAAGCAAATATAGTACTGTACATGAGAAACATGAAATTTCTGAAAAAGTAATGCTGCACATTTTGTTTTAGGCAATCTTTGGTTTGTCATAGCTTATTCTATGATCGCCTCTGAAGGCATACATGACAACAATAACTCAACACATTCGTCAATAACATTGCATTTAAAAGAAAAAAAGTATATATTATGTGACGTTTTTGGCAATGGCCCTTTTTCACAGCACATATAGTTACGTAAAATAAGCAATCATACGGAATGACTTAATTGGGTAAACTTCATGCATTATGTATTAAGTACGTTGCTAAAAAAATTGAGAGTTTTGTGACAGGTTATATATACGTTTAGATTTACAACTGGTAAAATGCCATTCATCTAACAGATTTAAAAAAAAACATCGTTGTAAGATTTGACAGAAATTTTCTTCAATTGTGTCTCATAGCAAATTAGCTGAGAGGATACCTTGATATAATTGGTGAACACTGTCATCTTCATTCGGACCTAAACATTCACCAGTAATAGCTTAACTATGGCTGCAACACAAATTACTTTATGATCTACAGCACATGTAGCAAATGGTTTCAAAAAGACAGTAAACATTAAGCAGTATTAAATTGTGCAGTTTGACACGTAGGCTTTTGCGACCAATATTATCCAAAAGAGAAGTTTTTTTAGTTAAATTCCTGCATTATCAATAAAATTATCTGGCATTCAGCATATCATAGAGTGCATACAGTGCCACACGCCCACAACAGGCTTAGATTTTCACGTTACTGAAGGGTTATAACAATATGGCGCAGTGTCTCAGCTTATTCCAAGTTTGTGATTAGCGAGTTAATGAATATGAATAGATACCCTTCAAGCTGTGAACTGATCGTTATGAATCGATGCACAAGTGCCTTTAAAAAAATAATTATAACACTCTAAAAGGTACACTTATTTAATAAAAAAAATTCACAGTCCAGTATTTGTATAAATAACATTTGCTAAGAAATTGTACTTTAGCCTAAATACAGTGATATCTTATCGGCCACGATATATCACAACATTCAGCAGTGGCTTGACAAAGAATTGAAAACATCACTTACAGTAGAACCTCTCTTATCCGCAATTATGTGGGGGATGACCATCACAGATCCTGCTACATTGTCTGCATACCCCCCCTCCCCCCCCCCACAAAAAATGCAGATGCAGATTACAGAGAATGGGAAGCATTTGGACGCGGATAGTAGTTTTTTTTGTCAGAGTCGTGTGTAAAATAGGGTTGCGGGCAAGATGAGTTGTTCTGTAAATCCATTCTCGTTTACGTCATCGTAAAGAAGAGTCCACAAAAGCAAGTCGGGCGGTGGGTGTACAGAGAGCAAGAGAGAAGTTGTTGACGCCCGTCAAGCTCATGATTCACGACTGCACCCCC